GTTCAGACAAGATTTTGGGAAAATATCGATGTTTTAAGAAAAATTCAACTGCAATTTTGAGGGTTGTTGTAGGCTGAGGTGTGACGTCATTTTAGGAGAGGTTTGGCTTTTTGTGACGATGTGTGACGGAGTGGAGGGGGGGGGGGAGGTAAAAATCATCTAAAAAGCGTGACGTCATTTATGGATGAACCCTTACGTGAAATTTTATTTTTCATTAATTTTGTATATATCCTCTACCTAAATATTAAGGAGTGTGACGTCATTTATGGACGACCCCTAACGTATAAATTAGGTTTTGCTGAGAACAATTCCATGATTAGTTACAGCTTAAGGCAAGACATTTCAGCATTACAAAGCCAAATGTTGTCTCTTTGAATGAGACGTCGTGGTGGATTGGTGGATTGGTGGAATATAACACTTTGGTGAAGAGAAAAAGAGAAAGACTTAGAAAATTATGCAGAACGATTACTCTTAGCGAAGCAAAGGCTTACATCAGCCCAATTAACAGGGTCGGCCAATAAAATAAAACGGGAGTTATCTATTCTAAACTTTCTCGCATCTAATATATAGGCCAGTTTCTTTTTTCTTTTTTCTTCTGTACTAATAGTACTATCTTTCGTTAAGGTTTTGCCAGGTCGAGTTATTTGTCCTGAATGGATTAAGTATCTTCATATTGGCCATAAGTTGTATTCAATCTGCAATCTGGTTTAATGTGGATGTAGATTTCGGAGAAACCCTCTTCGTCTTCTTTTCCTGGGTGCGTTTCATTGTTGTGGACACTCCAGAGCTCTTCTGTAAAGAAACAAATGTCACAGTAGAAATAACGGAACACAGGTTCCTCCGTGTGTTTCCTCGTATGATGACTGATTGCTCGACTGCTTTTAATTTGGCAGTGCAAACATTTTGTAAATTTGGAATGCTCATTTTCATGTTTTATCTGAACTTCTTTGTATTCCAAACATACCCCGCAGGGTCCGCATCTTATGTTTTCTTGCTCTGTGTTTTCTTTGTTCTCGACGTCTTGGATTGGATCAGCGTTGATGATTGGATTGATTTATGCCTTTATTTTTATTTTTCCCTTTAAAAAATTGAATTAAGAGATTGAGAAAAAGAACAAGCTAACCCAATGAAATTAACTTGGATATTTCAAACATGTATGAGCTACTTATGTAGTTAGGGTAAAGTCTCCAAATTGTAAATTTAAATAATTAATTATATACGGCTGCTAAAAGTGTACCAGTGATACATAATTCGGAATTAATTTAATACATTATTATATTTCTCTAAACAATAGATAAAAAGTTATATAATTTTGCTTTAACTTTTATCCCGTAGTAGTTTTAGAATATTATATATTAATTACCTCCCTTGTATATTTGTTTGTAAAAAAAAAAAAAATTTAAAAAAAAATGTAGTACAGATCTGAGCATTAGGCCTACTCTTAATCAAATTCAGTGGTGGTTGGGGGAAGGGGACTGAAAGGGGAGTAGTCAGGGACCCCTAAATTTTCTCTTACAAACAGTAGTAAATTTCACATTACATTGTAATTGTTGGTATTTACTATAAGAACCAATGTTGTACGGTTTAAATCACATTTTTCCCCCAAAATATCACGTGCACACACAGCCTAGACCAGCGTTTGCGCATGAATATAAAATGGGTTGATTTTATACTGTAAAAAAAACACAAACAGTAGTCGATTTCTGACAGATGAGTTTAAAGTTACCTATTTAAAAAAGACCGATCGCCTAACCAAAAGTATAAAAAAATACAAAGGTATGGATAGATGCTTTACATTTATTTAGGAATACTTATTTTTAGTAACAGGCTATCTAGTTCTAGTTATTTTGGATTTATAACTCACAATACGCATTATGTAATATATAATTTGTCCTTTTTAAAGCTGCTCTTCTATAGGTGGTCATCGGGCAGATGAGATAGAGCTCACATATTTCTGGACCGCCTTTAGTTTTAAACATATGAGACAGGTACCCACTTACAGGGCCGGTGCTACTTATAAGGCGAACTAGGCGGTCGCCTAGGGCGCCATCCCTAGGGATGCGCAAAAGGTTTAATCGTTATTATCAAAAAGTCCCTAATAATTCATAAGTTTGTTTATCTTTTATAAACTATACATCGTAATATACAAAGAAGTGGCGATCTATTTCGGCGCCCAGGACAAACTATCAATTTTGCACCCCAAACCCAAATTTAGGTCAACATAGGCCTATGTTAATCCTCGATGGTGGAATTGCAACCCCACCTCCCTAATTTGGATAGGTCGGTGCGCTTTTTACAAGCAACTTTGCCTTTTTATTTAGGTGTCACATTATTGAAGTAGAAAACGATTAAATAAGCTCATAATTTAAATTCGAACATTTCAAACGGTTATCTAATTTTAATGTTGATTTAGTGATTGCTCCAGCGCATGACGGGGTGTTCCAAAACAAGTGCAATTTTGGTTTTTAAGTCTCATTTTCTCTGACTTTGAATTAGAAATATGTTCTGGTGTATAGAGTTTTGTAATGACAGAGTTTTCAAAGTATTGTGCTTGTTTGGTAAGTTTTGATGAATCGTTTAGATCTGGGAGTAACGGTGGAAGGCTGTTGTTGTTACGGTTTCGTAGGTATAAACTATCGAAGGGTTTAAGTGTCGTCTTTTTTATTTGGCTGTTGTGTAGTTGTAGGTCTAGTGGAATTTGATTGGTAGTAGAGACACGGGAATGATGGTGATGAGGTATCGTAGTTCTTGAGTTTGGGAATATCGAGTCGTGTGTTATTTAGGTATCGAATTGTGTTGATTGTTAACGTGTAGTAATAGGTCCAGTGAAATCGTTGTTGATTGGGAGTACCGTTTGTAGAGCTTGGTGAAATTAGGCGAGTCGGTGTCGTAGTTCTGGACCATCGAGTCTAGTTATGTTTAGGTTTCGAGGTTTGTGAATGTAGTAGAGTATATTGTGTATCGTGTAGTCGAGTTTATCGTAAGTTGGATGATTTCAATTCAGGACAGAACACACTACAAAGAAAGGTAAGCTGAGAAATCTTTAGTTTTTTAAGGAATCGATATTACCACTATAATATTATATAGGCTGGAATTTATAACTAACCGTAAACTTTTTTTTTTCAAATTAACATTTTTTGTATATTTAATCATTAATTATAGCAATGTCTTTATTAAATGCTCGAGTTTAATCACAAATAACGGCTCGAATTTAGTTTCTTGTAAGGGTGTCCCTTTGTTTAGGGGATCCAAAATTAAAATAAGTTTATTTCTATGCATGTTTATTTTTAGGTTGCGTAATTTTACAAATATTTCTTCAAATTTGGCTAGAAGTAAGATATAATAAAACTAAAGTGTTTAGATTTTTAAACCAAATCTACAGTTAAGTAGTCAATTGATAAAATATATTATCTTACCAAAATAATATAACAAAACGTGTTATAATTATTACGTAAAGAAAATTTAGATAGTTTTAATGTTTTTCAAGTATATCTTAGTTGCACTTGGTTAATTCAGCTATTTATTAAAAGGTTATTTCCCTTGAATACAATTTTCGTATTTGGATATCCAAATGGGAGATAATTCATCTATTTCAAATTCCTGCACTTTAGGTTGACCGCTTACATATAAATACAACTTTAAGTAGTTTAAGTTACTATTTGCTATTGTAACAATTATACAGAGCAGAAGTTCTAAACAAAATAGTTTGTTAGGTTTTTTTTAGCATTATCCAGTTGAAAAACAAATACATCAGTAACCGTTGTAGATTGCAATAATTAATTAATGTTAGTATGAGATAGTGCAACAAATAGGTCTAAAATCGTCTAAGTCGCAAACTAATCATCTAATTAATTGTCTTTTTCATAATTTTCACCCTCCTAAAGGATTTATATATAAAATTTGTAGGCTGGAATCTATAACATTTATAACCTTTTATTTTTCACAAACAAAAACAAATCGTTACACAATCACACTATATAGACATTTTACAATTATAACTAAAGACAGTCAATCTTAAAGCAGGTAAGTTCCGTTCTGGAACTCACCTTGGGAGGTCTGCAGAGAGCCCACCACTACAAGATAAACTGTGTGTTTTTTTCAGTTGTTTTTTTTCCAGACTTGTTCTCCCGGGAAGGGGGGGGGGGGGGGAGAAACATTTGAAATTTTCTTAGGGTAGGGAGGGGGGGGGGGGCTGTGTTTGTAAGTAAAAAGTAGACTCGTGAACTTAGCAACAATTTCAATAGCATGTGATTACGCTTGCAAACTGGAATTGAAGGAATTAGTACAAACTTTTGCGACAGCAAGCAAAATTTGATTTTGATGTCTACTTATAACGTTTATGCAATTGATAATAAATTAATATGTCACTTTTAATGTATGGTTTTCTTATACATATATTTCATTAATTAATTTGTGTGAAAGGGGGCGTATTTATAAGTTTTGCATAGGGCGCTAAATAACCTGGCGCCGACACTGCCCCCACTCACATTGCAGTCATGCGTCCCATCTTCCGACCAGTGTTTCTTCCAGACTTTTTTCTCCGGGGGAGGGGGGGGGGGGGGGCTCATGAGGACATCACAATCATAATACGCAATATTTATTAGAGAAACAAAACTGCATAAACAACGTAGGCCTTAAAGCTTGTAGGAAAATGCTCGTGTTTTTTTTTTAAGCCCAACTCAACTGGTAATTATGTCACGGCAATCGACAGTTAAACAGAAATACTGTGTGGGCACTATTACTTAAACTTTTAATTACAGTATAAATCTTAATAGATCTACATAATTCGGTTAATTAGGTTGGAATAATTTATACTTCGGTAGCTAGAATATCGGGATTTTTTTTTTTACCTTTTAACAGGGGAAACTACTATAACAAATAATTTTTTATTTAGATCTAGACTAGACTCTAGCAGTCTGGGTTAGTTAAGGTCGGATCTGCTGTACACAGAAAACTTATTACTTATTAGTTATTAGTAATATTAGATATAGAATCTAGAATTAGATTCTAGATCTAGATATCTAGATGCAGTAAGATAAACCTAAATGTTGTAGCCTAATGATTTATTTAATGAAACATTTAATTTAAACTAGATCTAGGCCTACATCTCTTTAACAATAGCATGGCCATATAAAAATATTATTATTATTAAAATTATTAGGCCTAATGAGTAATATATGCAATAATTTCATATGCCCTGGTTTTAAAGTTTTAACACAGTTCAGTAGTAGATCTAGATCTAGATTCTAGATTAGACATTAGATCTAGATTTCTAGATAATAATATTATTATATCTAGACTCTAGATCTGGAATCTATCTCTCCCGTTACCCGTTACGGTCGTTAGCCAAAACAAAACAAAAGTTAGGTCCTATAAAAAATAATTAAAAATATTATTTTAAAAATAAATTAAAAATGAAGAATAACAGAACTGAGTCAGTCTCAGTCAGTGAGTGAGTTCGAAACTGCCTTGTAAATCAATTAAATCATACTTGGAAATGTAATACTGTGACTGTAAGACAGTAATATTTAGTAATAAGTACTAAGTTGGTGGTTTGTCCTGTTTAGATCTAAATCTAGGTGTTAGTTGTGGTTATTGTTGAGACAATGAGAGTTTAAAACTTTTAATTAAGTCTAAGAAGTCAATGCAGCAAGCCCACCAGTTGGTTGTGGGGGGTGTTGGGAAATTGCGAGACGGCAAAAGCGAAATGGCGAGGCGGGAAAATGCTAGAAGATAATGTGAGACATACCCGCGGAATCAAGGGTAAATAGCGAGACACCTTTTGCGAAAAAAAAAATTTTGTGTGCTTTTTTCATCTTTATTTATTTAAATATTTTTTTGTTTGTTTTAAAATAAACAAGCATGTAGCCATACCCATTAACATGAGTGTTGTATGTTGATATTTTTTATCTAGATTTCATTATATATATATATATATATATATAGATAGATAGATAGATACTAAGTAGATAGATCTATATTAAGATATATCTATTAAAAAATCCTAACATCGTTGCTGTGCTACTGTCAGCGCATGCTCTCGTAAGCGAGAGGAAAATCCCGTCTCAGTGGACATTAATTTTAAAAATCTAGCCCGTTCATGTTTTATACAATCGTGAGCTGTGTCAATCTTGTCAGCAGGAGAGATATTCTGCAACATGTGTTCTTGGATTGTTGTACTTGCAAAACGTGTAAAAGTATAAACAATTCTAAAAAGTGTAGTTTATTTTTTATTAAGTAACTTTAATTACAAACAAAATTTACAAACAAAATCTTCTGAAACAGTCCTAGCACTACTCAAACACACCTCGTGACACCATCTTTCAAACATAGTACATCCAACCCAGTTCATTAGACTGACTCCCATTTATACATTTTTCTTTGGCTACTTCTTCCAATCCACATTCACAACATGTCACATTCTCATCACAGTTGACCTCCCCGTTCATCCCACATACAACACTGGCGGCGGCTATAATACAAAATTTCTATGCAACAATACAAAATATGTTTGCAGCGGCAGTGGATTGGGGCATGGTGATCTTCAAAGGCGGTAAATCAGGCGGCCTCTGCGTTCCACACAAAAGAAAGAAGTTGATCTATCATCGGCGGTATTTCGGGCGGTTTCGAACAAGGTGGTATTCTAAGTCGACACAAAAGATGGGGGGAGTTTACAAATCATCAGTATGTCTAGCGACGGAAAAATCGGAAATATTAACAATGTAAACGAAACGTCTTTGAAGTCTGCACCAAATACCACTGTAAATTGGGTGCGGTAAATTTTTTGCAGAAATCTTTGCATTTTAACAATATCCAGCGTAAGTATGGGGTTGTGGTAATATGCAAGACAAAAAGTCACGTGACCGCTCCTCGCATTTTCCCGCCTCGCCATTTCGCTTTTTGCGTCTCGCTATTTCCCAACATCCGACTTGAAATATTGTCCAAAATAAGTAACATGAATCATATAGAATCTAGATCTAACAATATTTATGGGTAAAGCTGCTTGTTTACTTAACAAATCTAAAAAAATAGCAACCTAAACGAGCATAACAAATGTCTTGTAAATTACTAACAGTAACATAGATCTAGACGTCTAGTAACAACTCATAATTTGGAACTTTTTTTTACATAATTTACTGCCTCCCTGTTAAATGTCTTAATCTGTGCTGACACTGCAGGTTTGCAGTGAAAGTTGAATGGTGAATTATTAGGCCTAATAAATTTTCATTGTGCTGTATAGCTTGGTCAGTGGTTAGCTTACAACTTTGATAATGATAGAGTCAGATTGTCTTATTCAGATTCAAGTTAGACCTAATGTATTAACTACTGGACCAATTTTACTTTAACTGTTAACTTTGTAGATCTACTTTGTATGGTACAATATAAAACAGAATTTGTTTTTTAACTTTATGTTTGCCTTTATCACCTACCCAACTAGATAGACAATACATATGGAAGGCCTACTCACTCCCCGTTGGTGGTTAACTACTCTATATAAACCATGGATGTTCTTTTTTTTTTCTTGTTATACTACTATGACTTTTGACATATTGTGTCTAAGTATGATGGTTATGTGTCAAAAAAAACCTTGGCATATCTGTAGTTGTCTCCATAATAGCTATGAAATTGCCTGTCTTTTTTGTACCACTGGATTTATTTATATATTTTTTATTATGCATGGAGCCTTGTTATTTTTCACATAATGAACTTCATTTGCTAAATAAATTCTCAGATGCTACTTTTATTCTTGGATCTTCAAATCTAAATCCTATAAATTTATATCCCACAGTTGATTTTAATTTGTTGTATTTATTTGTCACAGATGTTCGTGATGCAGTCAGGGGTAATTCAGAGTTTTCAACTTCTCAACAAGATGATATGTCAATGTAACAGTATTCGACAGTGTATATCTAGTCAGCACAGAATCAAAGAAAAGTGTATACACCTATTTAATAATGTGAAACACGCAAGCAACTCTAATAACATCAAAGGTAATGCAAGCACAAGAACTGTCAATGAGCCAACAGCTCATTTTATGCCAGTGTCTAGTGAGGAGATAGATGCCTTTATTAAATCTGTTGATACGAGTAGTTTAGATGAAATTTCAAAGAAAATTCATGACGAACATGTACGAGCACTAAAGGTAAAATGGATATCTAGTAAAGTATTAATTTAGAAATAACAATATAAATTTTCATTTTGCTAAAAATGTTGTTATAATATAAGAAAAATTTAATTGCTTAATATTGATACTTAAAAAAAATTGTTATTCCGTAATTTGTGTTTAGAACAGACATGATGAATATACAGACCCACAAACAGGCTACAGGGTGATGACAAGGCTAGCACATTTGAGAAGAGGGCATTGTTGTGGCAGTGCTTGCCGTCATGTAAGTTTGACCTTTATGGCAGTGCTTGCCGTCATGTAAGTTTGACCTTTATGGCAGTGCTTGCCGTCATGTAAGTTTGACCTTTATGGCAGTGCTTGCTGTCATGTAAGTTTGACCTTTATGGCAGTGCTTGACGTCATGTAAGTTTGACCTTTATGGCAGTGCTTGCCGTCATGTAAGTTTGACCTTTATGGCAGTGCTTGCCGTCATGTAAGTTTGACCTTTATGGCAGTGCTTGCTGTCATGTAAGTTTGACCTTTATGGCAGTGCTTGCCGTCATGTAAGTTTGACCTTTATGGCAGTGCTTGCCGTCATGTACGTTTGACCTTTATGGCAGTGCTTGCCGTCATGTAAGTTTGACCTTTATGGCAGTGCTTGCCGTCATGTAAGTTTGACCTTTATGGCAGTGCTTGCCGTCATGTAAGTTTGACCTTTATGGCAGTGCTTGCCGTCATGTACGTTTGACCTTTATGGCAGTGCTTGCCGTCATGTAAGTTTGACCTTTATGGCAGTGCTTGCCGTCATGTAAGTTTGACCTTTATGGCAGTGCTTGCCGTCATGTACGTTTCATCTTTATGGCAGTGCTTGCCGTCATGTACGTTTCATCTTTATGGCAGTGCTTGCCGTCATGTACGTTTCATCTTTATGGCAGTGTATAGATAGGCCAGTAAAAATGTATAAATTAAAATATAACTTTTAAAAATATAAATTCTTTTTAAGTAATAAAAAGTAACTAGTTTTTATTTTTGTGTTTAATTAATTAAATACTATTTGACAGTGCCCTTACAACCATGAAAAAGTGAAAGAGAAGAATAAAAAATACTTCAATTCTGCTTTCTTTGATGTGGTAAAGAAGTAATAACTCTACTTGGAAAGACTGTTGATTTTGATCAAACAACAATGAGGAAATGTTTATGACCTAAACTATATTAGTTTGTGTCTCCTAACATGGGAAAAAATAGTTGCGACTCTAATCATGTGAGATTTTTGTCTGGTGAGGTGTGAGAAGTTGATAGTAAGGACCTTGTTCAATCTGTCAGTTGTCTAGATCAGTGTCAGAATCTAGCTAGTTTTATCATTGCTTTAGGTCAGTTGGTCAGTTGTCTAGATCCAGTGTCAGACTTTAATTCTGTACACATTTTAGTAAACTATAGGTCAACTGTATAGATCCCAGTGTCAGAATCTAGCTAGTTTTATCACTGCTTTAGGTCAGTTGTCTAGATCCTAGTGTCAGACTTTAATTCTGTAAACATTTTAGTAGGTCAACTGTATAGATCCTAGTGTCAGAATCTAGCTAGTTTTATCACTGCTTTAGGTCAGTTGTCTAGATCCTAGTGTCAGAATTTAATTCTGTAAATATTTTAGTAAACTATAGGTCAACTGTATAGATCCTAGTGTCAGAATTTAATTCTGTAAACATTTTAGTAAACTATAGGTCAACTGTATAGATCCTAGTGTCAGAATTTAATTCTGTAAACATTTTAGTAAACTATAGGTCAACTGTATAGATCCTAGTGTCAGAATCTAGCTAGTTTTTATCACTGCTTTAGGTCAGTTGTCTAGATCCTAGTGTCAGAATTTAATTCTGTAAATATTTTAGTAAACTATAGGTCAACTGTATAGATCCTAGTGTCAGAATTTAATTCTGTAAACATTTTAGTAAACTATAGGTCAACTGTATAGATCCTAGTGTCAGAATCTAGCTAGTTTTATCACTGTTCTAGGTCAGTTGTCTAGATCCTAGTGTCAGACTTTAATTCTGTAAACATTTTAGTGAACTATAGTTCAGTTGTATAGATCCTAGTGTCAGAATCTAGCTAGTTTTATCACTGCTTTAGGTCAGTTGTCTAGATCCAGTGTCAGAATCTAGCTAGTTTTATAACTGTTCTAGGTCAGTTGTCTGAATCAAATTCTGTACACATTTTGTTAAAAAGAAACATTACTAAACAACAGCACCTAGTTATAAATTTCTTGTGATTTGAGATTTGTTATCAATGGTTTCCCTACTTAAGAGACCACTAGTGCCATATAATTGTCATTTTGGCTAAGACTAAGAGACTACATATTAAGACTTAAAGTATACATGTTATAGCTACCAGTAATTATGCTGGATACCGGCCAAAACCGGTAACAAGAAAAAAATTATCTATAAATTTCATATCAAAATATTAAGCTGACTTTTTACCTACATTTTAAAACTTCACTTAAGAATTCTCACTGACTGTATTTGTATAGTTATGTAATTTTTGGTTTTAAAATAGTGGAATAAAGTTATGAGTGCAATTACAAAGACAAATATTTATGATAATTATGTGGTTCCCTAGTTGCTTGTCTTTCAATGCACAAATCTTAGTAAATTCACATGTTGTAGTAACTGTATTCAGCTACTCTACTGTATGTGTGAATTCCTTTACTATGTGATTTTAAGTATTTTATTGAATTTTTATTTATTTTAGAAATTATTATAATAAATGGCAACCCCTCTGATTTTTAAACACTATGCTTCTGTTCTTTTGCTTAATTTCTATTAATTTATTATTATAAAAACAGAAGTTTATCTCTGCTCTAGTTTAATATCTACCTGAAATCTGGACACCATTATAATAGAATTCAACACAGCATGGAAGATTCGTGTTTTTGAAAGAGTTGAGAAAGAAAGTTAAAAGTCGATGTTTGAGCCTTGCTTCATATTGACGAATATCGTTTATCTACAAACATGCAATAGCAGCTTCCAAACTAATGATTGTGTGTTGAGATGGCACTTTCAAAGCACATTGATTGGAGAATATTATTTTTGTAAGTCCTTTAGTTTGTTGGGTGTGATCTTTATCAGGTAAATTTACTCAAAACATGCTCTTCTGACATGTAAATACACATTTGTAGATGCTTCAGTTATTATGAAAGTAAAGCACCTTTTTGAATGTTACTGTCCATGGGGCAGATGAAGTAGAGTTCACTTGTTTCAGTGACCTCTGTAGGGATCCGGACAAAAGGCCGACATGGACAAAAGGCCGACACGGACAAAAGGCCGACATGGACAAAAGGCCGACAAGACAAAAGGCCGACTGCCAAAAGGCCGACAAGACAAAAGGCCGACTGCTAAAAGGCCGACAAGACAAAAGGCCGACAAGTTTTATAAAACTAAAATATAATTCAAAGTTTGTCGGTATTTAACATGTAGTCCAGTCAAGACACGTGATCGGTCTACTTCATTCGGTTTCTTTGATTTCTTTGCATAATATGGCTGTAACGCCACCTATCTCCAGTCGCATGGACCCAATTGTCCACCTTATAACTAACATTGTCTCTTCCACCTTGTTGCATGTGGGCAATAATGCCGGCAGCTTTTGACTTTGTTCTTTGACGATTATCTCACCCCTTTGACATAGAAGGAGCTATGAAAGACAGCAGTGACAGCATTTCGCAATATTTAGGGGTTGATCCTTTGTGTTTAAGACACTCCCGTAATCTCCAGTCGCTTTACCCGACGGTTCACCTTATAAGAATAGCAACTAGCACCGTCTCTTCTCTTGAACGTTTCACCTTATTTCATGCCTTATTTCGATGGTTGTCAAGATAGAAGCTATGCAGTAACACACATTTTGCGATATTATTATTTTTTATGCTGTCGGCCTTATGGTTTGTCGGCCTTATGGATTGTCGGCCTTTTGGCTGTCGGCCTTATGTCCTGTCGGCCTTTTGGCTGTCGGCTTTATGTCCTGTCGGCCTTATGTCCTGTCGGCCTTTTGGCTGTCGGCCTTTTGTCCATGTCGGCATTTTGTCCGTGTCGGCCTTTTGTCTTGTCGGCCTTTTGGATGTCGGCCTTTTGTCCTACACCCACCTCTGTATATGTGGTCAGTACCATGACCAGCTGTCTTTACTTTCCCTGGCGTAAGTCAATAATCCATTACAGTTTGTGTAGACTCGGGGGCATCCTACGGACTTGAGCCAGTGATCCAAACTCAAGACTTTAGGGTTGGCAGTTGAATCATTCTACCACCCCATACCTTTTCAATTCTTAGCTTTGTCTAAATGACGACCCCGGACTCTTTACAAAAAGAAGCATGTCTTCAATTACCTTGCCACTGTTATATAATATAGTCAAGGCTGATGTCAGTGTGTGGCCCTTGACACTTATTTTGCAAATGTTATTTCTGAGGTAAAAAAAAAAAGAAAATAATTTAATTACTTCCACTTTCCCATTTTATGGTGTTGCTATTGCACATAGATGGCTACCCCTAATGAATCAGGTCATTTAAACAACTGCTACCCCTAATCAATCAGGTCATTTCAACAACTGCTACCCCAATCAGGTCATTTAAACAACTGCTACCCCAAACAGGTCATTTAAACAACTGCTACCCCAATCAAGTCATTTAAACAACTGCTACCCCAATCAGGTCATTTAAACAACTGCTACCCCAAACAGGTCATTTAAACAACTGCTACCCCAATCAGGTCATTTAAACAACTGCTACCCCAACCAGGTCATTTAAACAACTGCTACCCCAATCAGGTCATTTAATCAACTGCTACCCCAATTATGTCATTTAAACAACTGCTACCCCAATCTGGTCATTTAAACAACTGCTACCCCAATCAGGTCATTTAAACAACTGCTACCCCAATCAGGTCATTTAAACAACTGCTACCCCAATCAGGTCATTAAACAACTGCTACCCCAATCAGGTAATTTAAACTACTGCTATCCCAATTAGTATTAGGTCATTTAAACAACTTCTACCTCAAACAATCAGGTAATTTAAACAACTGCTACCCCAATCAGGTAATTTAAACTACTGCTACCCCAATTAGTATTAGGTCATTTAAACAACTTCTACCTCAAACAACCAGGTCATTTAAACAACTGCTACCCCCCTCACCCTCCCCTAAACCTGTGTGTACCAGAGTTCTTGTGACGCCACCACACCGAGACAGATCAATAAAACAACTGATCGTGAATCAAATGATCACCCGCCGGACAAAGCTGTCGTATCAGCCCGACCACCGTACCGTCTGTTCTTATGATGTTCAACCACGCGGAGCCGCAATTAATTAGCACATCCACAAATGACTTGAAGACTCCACTCAACAGACAGACACGGGGACGTAACCGTGGCGCTAATCAACATACTAGACAGACATTATAAAAATCTATACCAAAACAAACCCGACGGGTGGATCAACGAGCACAAAACGTTTGACTCTAAAGACTGGGGTTATCCCTTGTTGGCTGGCCTAGTATAACAGACCTCTTGAAGATCTCCACATACGGTTGTTGGTCTGTGTAACCAAATGCCAGTTGCTGTGTAAAGGGCTTACATATTAATAATAATGGCGTCTAATACAATGCAATGCTCATGAGTTATCTTTTTCTGTAAGTTTTAATTTTTTTTTCGTTTTTCAATTTTAATTTAACCATATTCCTATTTTAAAATTAAGAATTAAGTTTTCCTTACGGAGAATAATGGGGAATTCAATGTGTGATGTTGCTTTGTGGCTATCGAATCTGAACAAAAATGAATTGAGTTTGGGCCTTGTTTACAAATAATAAAAAACATGAAGCTCCTTCACGTTAACGTGTGTAAGCTGGATTTGTTAGAGTAGGTAGTCAAAACTGGATCTTTACATTCCCGGGTTACCAGATGTTATATTCCGTGAGCTAAAAGTCACAAACAGCTGGCATTTTAGCTTACATAGGAACAAGTTGAAAAATATCAGCAAGTTTATACTGAGCACCAAAGTGGTCGAAATGTGGGAACCTATGGCTGTATGAATAAACGCGATGATGAGCGATGTATAGGCACACGAACAACACCATCTCTTCTTTACATGATTTAGTTCAAGAAAAATGGCGTGGAACTTTTCTATCGCAATTCGGGAAGAAGTCTTGGGAAAATGGTTTACTTTGGTTACCTTTTACCTGAGGTGTAACGGTCAGCTTACTCCAGCTCGGAGTAATGTATCATTCTGGATTTTCCTAGCACTTACACTATATATAACTATATATTGCCTATATATATATATATATATATATATATATATATATATATATATATATATATATGTGTGTGTGTGTGTGTGTGTGTGTAGTATTCGCTACTTTAATACTTCTTTAGAATTGTATTGAGTTAAGATAGAAAACTTTGTTTTTGCAGTGTCTGCCCTTATAGAATGGAGGTTTCTGTATCCCTTTATCGTTAGGAAGCTTTGAATGAAAAGTTCTGGACGAGGTCTAAGGATCACATCATCTACTCCAACGTTGACCGTACACGTCATACTGTCACCTACTGTCACCTACTGCCACCCACTGCCACCTACTGTCACCTATTGCCACCCACTGCCATGTCACTGCTGGCACTGAAGACCAAGAACCTGTCATGGCAGGACCACACGCTGAACATCGAGGTGATGTTGGCCCCCCAGGGATCCACCCTCCTGCTCAACAAACACAAGTCCCTGGACACCAAGCTCCAGCGGGAGAAGGCGGGGTACGAGCGACAGATGGACGCCTTCGTCAACAACTACCTCGCCGAGAAAAGGCTGATCGAAAGGCAGCGCGCTAAACTCATGCACCGACGACGGGAGTTGACCGGGGAAAAATCGGAAATACCCGAAGACGATTTCAACAAAATTAAGATCGTCGACGAAGCAGCAAATAGCGTGGTATTGGATGACGAATGCAGTCTGTGTAAGAACGACTCTGCGGGAAAATCCGATTCGGTGTTTTTCCTACCCCCGCATCCACCGAAGCTGCCTCTAAAACACGTTCCACTTTTTGACGCGCCTGTCCCAGTTTTAAAACCCGGGTTGGAAAAAATGAAACCTGCGTCGCCATTCAAATCACACTCGGCTTCAGCCGCGAGATCTGCACCAGTAAACCCTCAGCCCCCTAAAACCGATGCTGGTACTGGTGTTTTTATAACGAGTGTGCTGGATCGTAGTTCAAGTGCAAGTTCACACACACTCAGACGAAGATTCCAAGCTAAAAATAATCTCAACTCCACGAAAAGCGCCCACAAAAATCGTAACGTCAGCTTCTCAGACGCCCGCACACCAGCCGAGACCGAAACCCAAGACTCGCCGATTTTTGTTCAAATTAAAGAGAAAACAATCGAAGATAAAGTTCGCGAGTTTCTTCACAGTCTAGAAGACTCGGGACCTCAGGCTGGCGCTTCAGGCAGAACCGTGGTTGATCTTGACCTCTTGATAAAACGAAAATCAGCCAAAACTCAACCCCTGGTTGCGGCTAAATACCGAACCTTGACCCTGGACAGAACACAGCTGGTGAAAGCTTTCGACAAGTACGTGGAGCGGAAGTCGTATGATGACCTACTTAAGGCCATGAAGATGGCCACCAAGATGAAGGCCCACATCCGGCAGGCCAGGAGCACCAGTCTGGTGCCAACAATGGCGGTCTTCAAAAGCACGAAGACGTTCATGCAGATCCTCAAGCGTAAGCAGAGAATTGACAAGGACGCCTCCAAAGTATAGAAATATAAACGTAACTACAGCAACTCCATAAATAGAAACATAAGTACAGCATTTCCATAAAATAGAGACAATAACGACAGCACCGAGTAAAGAAATATAAATAAGTATGCCTAAGTCTTCAAATGTAAAAATGAAAAAAAAAATATTGATACAAAAATAAAGACAACAACATTATTTTTTTAACTAGATTTAAACACTACAGCCTTCAATATCTAAAGACTAATAAATGATACCACTATTTGGTTAAGTGCAAAGAATCCAAAAATGAAGTCCGATGTAGAAAAGAATATGGTGATAATGTAAATAAGGAGTTTAGTGCCTTTTCGGTTAGACGGTTGATGTTCTTTTTTCTTCTTCGTTCTTAGTTGTAATGTTGAACAGTATTTCCCCCAATACAGTTAAGTAGTACGTGTCAAAATGGATATGCGACATATAAACCGTTGACTCACATTTCAGTCTCCTTTTTTTTCCAAAGCCTTAACCTATTTAAGAACAGACTACAAGGCAGGAGTTGTTTGATTTTGAAGTTTTCACGTATAGGTTGCCGTCTCCAGATATCGAGCCTCATCTGCCCGGAAGGGTTGATGTTGAAAAGCTATATAATGTGTGGTTACGTACATTGTTAATTACCTACGAATACCCTGTTACTAAACATTTAAATTAGTTACTCTAAAAAAAACACACGAACAAAAACGTTTTTCATGTTATCAAGCTAAAATGAAGTGATATTTAAAAATGCGCTATTGTTGTTCGTATGTAAAAACTACAATATTATAAAATAAAGATGTTTTTATTGCTGTGTGTTTTGTTTTGTATGATCACAGTTGATATTCGTATCTTCAAAGCTCTTCAAAGTGGTGTGTTAGGATTTTTAAGAACACCGCCATATTGTGTGTTTACACGCTTCAATGATTTCATTGTGCAAAACACGTGTTTGAGACTATACAGTGCTATTCTTGCGTGACTGTCTTAAGATATTGACATTGTTCCGCTGAGGGACTACTAGTCAAGACCTCTGCTTTGATTGTATTCATTGTATGAGTTCATTAAAACTTATGTCTAGATCTAAATTAAATACCGCATCGAGGATACAATTGTTTGATTGCAGAGTGATAATAAAGATACCAATAATAATGCACACAATGGTTAATGAATTAATTAAATATAATAGGTAAATGTTGCAATTAGGCGTGGTTATTAACATTTTAAAAGCTTTTTAATATTTATTAACTCCAATTGATTTGTTCTTAAGCATCGCATAAATATAAATCAATATTTTTAAATTACATTTGAGCACGTGGAAAAAATTAGCGAAAAGAAATTTGCTTAAGGCATACGTGGTATTTCATAATTGTTAGGGTACTTGAGAGGGAGGAGGGTATCAATTTTTATGTGTAACAATATGATACATATGATGCAAACATGATTACTTGCGTTGAAAATATAGTTATTGGGGGTATGATTGGGTTGGAAATTTTTGACGTCAAATGTTAGTCTATATATTTATGATCACGTGTAATAATATAAAAATGGGGGGAGGGGGTAGGCACTAAAATCAGCTTACATAGAAAGATATAACTTGTAAGCAAAAGGGAGAAAAACACAGCAATCCAAGACAGTATTGTGGGAAGTTGTTTAACATTAATTTATCCATAGCAATGACTCTCATAAACATCAGCGGAATTCTCTATAACAATGACTGACATAAAAAGGCACAAAACGTATGTTACCAGCGCTGATTTATTTATTTAGGATAACTGGAAATGGCCGAGATTCCACAGATGTTCTGGCCTCTTAACATCCTCATGTAGCCTTGCTCGCCCCACTGTGTACCTACAGGAGAAAGTCAACTCAAAGTTCCAGAACAGTGCAATCTTTTAATTCCTAAAGCAAGCATTTTGTATTGATCTTACCCAACATATTACTGCAGCTTAAATTGTTAATGATACCTTGGAAATTAATTTTAAAATAGCAGCTACCAAAAAAAAATATTTCCACAGAATTAGCAAGAAAACCAAAGAACTACTAAAATGTTATTAAAGATCATGTTAGTTTCAGAGGCGTAGCGACCCTTCCCGGAGACAAACTTAAAATTTGGCGTCCCCCGTATATATTTTGTATATTTATAATGCAAAACTGCAGCTAAAATGAGCTTTTAATTTTATTTTTCAACCCATTTTGGCGCCCCATTGGGTCGGCGCCAGGGGACATATGTACTCCCCCCCCCCTCAGTACGCCTCTGGTTAGTATCAGCCGGTTTTGTTTCGATTGTTATCCAAATTACGTACAACAGAACAGGACGACTCCTCACCCCAAGAATTTTTGATAATCCAATAATCCATTCCACCTACAGTTCCGTACCCAACGATTTGGACTGCGTGATGGGAAATACCACCGGGTGTGCACATCCTGTCAAAGTAAATCCCACCTTTGTAGTTCTGTCAAGACAGGAAAAACACACGTTAATATTCTATAAATAGATTAGGTAAATGATAATTTATAGCGTATTTATCTACTAAAGTAACCGAGGGCGGTTAAAAGTTGACACAATATTTCCCAGAGTTTCTAAAAAAGCATACAATGGTTATTATAATTCAACTATTTTAAGGCCAATTTTTTCTGTTGGCCTTTTTATAGCGATTCATTAGAAGTAGCTTCTGGCGTGAAGGGGGAGGGGGGTGAAGTACCGGATAACGCCCCACCTAGTGACGCCCTGTAGTCAGATCAACTAGCCATCCGTCCAGTCTCTGCTTCTTAACTGTGTGTTTGGCGTTTCCCACTAAAATATAACTGTTGTGTAGCAACGATATTACAGCTGGTAAATTCATACAATATACTTATTTATCCCTTAATTTATTTGTGTGCTATAAGCTTAGTGTTTGTGTAGTAGCTGTTTTGTAGACATATACTGTGCTTTGTTGATGTGTTACAGATGTGTGGTTTAGGGACTAGCCAAGATCAAGTAGTGCAACCTACCAGAAAAGATTGAGGTGTGATATCAATGTACGCCAAGAGTGTTGTGTTATGAAGTAGTTGAGCCATTAGAGTCTCGCTGCCCTTAGGTACATAGCCCGCTCCCTGAATCTGAAACAAGTCGGAAACATTTTAGTTTTACATCGCTAAGTCTTGACTGACATACATGATACAGCATGGTCGTACGGCAGAGCCGATAACCCGGAACTCTGGAGTCGGGACCAAGGCTCAAATCCTCAGGATGTTAATTGAGTCCACCCAACTCTGATAGGTACCTGACTGACATTAGGGTAAGGTAAGGTGGCGGCTTATAGTGCCGACCACACTGTTTCTTCTTATGCCAAAGAGATCGCTGAAAAAGGGGAACACTACTTCATCTGCTTCATGTTCTCGGGGATTAACAGAAAAAGATGACTATTTCCAAACTTCTAAATATAGCTGCGTTTGCGTTATCACACTGACCTATTGATAGTTGGGTTCGAAAGGACAATTAGTTTACTAACTGCAAAGCTAAATATTTACAACACCTGGATATACCGGTGCACACACAAAGCTCACCTTCCCCGTGGACGTGCAGGTGTTGTTCTCACACCTGCCCACACCTCTGTAGGAGTCAGAAGTACAAAGTCCACCAATGCCAGCTATACAGTCAAACCACGTCCATCTTGGCTCGTGTTGGTGGTCGTCACAACAGTCGAGCACTTCCTGTTTGCTCAGAGCCTTGACCTTGCTGCGTGTTTGTATGGCCAGCAGACTTTCCACACACTCTGGTGGAGAGATCATACACAGATTTATACACACACACCACACACTCTGGTGGAGAGATCATACACAGATTTACGTACACACAAAACAACACACAAACACACATAAATCACATATGTGTGGGTGTGATACAATGTGTAATAGTCAACAATTCATTAAAGTTGGATAATGCAACGGCATCCCCTACACGAAATAAAAACATAAATAATTAATATAAAATATGTGGAACCCCCAGGGAAAGCGGAAAAGAGGGCGCCCAAGACAGACCTGGAGGCGGAGTCTTCTTGAAGAACTGAAGACAACAGGGATGTCTTGGGAGATGACAAAATTAATAGCCGGGGATCGGAAGAAATGGAAGGAAATGGTGGAGGCCCTATGTTCCATAAGGAGCAAAAAGGACTAAGTCAAGTAAAGTCATGTACCACCCCGAAATTTTAAGTCCCAAGTTTCAAGTACCCCACCCCTCCCCCTGAGAAAAATATCTGAATGAAATTCTGATCATAACAGCTCTAAATATAAGGAACTAAGTATACATAATGTGGTAGCACAAATGTAAACATTTAAATTTAGCTACCACAAATCTCAGCGAAGCTACTGTATGTATCTGAGATGTAGTTATTTCAATACTATTTTTTTAAATTTCCCGATTTGTTTCGATCTCAGGACCAACAAATAACGTTGTTACCTGTGGCAGCTATATCGGCGCCAATGTCCTGAGTACCTTGGTCAGATACAGGGGAAATCACTCCAAAATCTCGCCAGTCAAACCGGAAGTCGTCATCACGTTGACTGGACTCTACCTGGTTCAAACAACACAATTCTACTTAATGGTCCTCGTTTTAGTTTATGTAGACCTAAAACTGTTCATCATCTTATAGTAAGAGTTTATGTAATTATACATTAGGTAGTGGAAAAAGAATTCAAAAATAAATCCACATCGGATGATTCAAATCTAGAAGAATAGAAATTTTACCTTAGCAATCGTCACGCCATTTAACACAACAGATCCAAACAGTTGAATGAAAACAATGGCTTTTAAAGACATATCAGCTTTTCTCAACAGCACAACATTCAAAACAACACAGCAAAGATAAACGTCGAGTTCACAGAAAGATAAGAAGGTTGTTTTAAAACACAGATTTGTGATAAGGAAACGACTTCAACTCTAGGAAACAATTTAAATAATATTTAGTACATTAAAAAGCGACCCAAAAAGTGAAATATGAAAGTTTGTTCTATGAATAAGTAAACATATAAACATAAAATAACACACGATACCACCAACAGATACATCACAGCGTACAGTAAAGTAGGATGTTACAGCCCACGTATAATAACGGGTGATTAGAAAAGTACCCTTCAGATCTGACGTCCCACATCGCAGATGCAGTAGAGTTTGTCAGTGTTTTGAAAACGTGAAGAAATATGGCATCAGCAATATACCAAACCGCGACTACTTTTTTCCTGACTCACATGAAGTAGTCGTGAGAGATCACCTGACCTGGATATACCGGCTCAGGAGTTTGACGCCCATAAGCCAATCATCAGAGATAGATAAAGTAATAGGCAATAGAAGTCCAAAACCCAAACTCAAACTGCTTACGTGTCTTCAGTTATTAAATTACGGCATAGCATTGCTCCACACAGGGGTCGTCCATAAATAACGTCACACTCGTAGGGGGGAGGGTGAGGGGGTCTGTAATTTTGTGACGGTTTGTGATGAGGGGGAGTGGGGTGGGAGGGGTAAGATGGTGTCACGTCACACTTTTGCATTGTAAAAAAGTAAGTTTAGAAAACGAATTTTAGCCGTTATTTCGCGTTTTAGAAAACTGTTGTAATAAATTGTAATAGGAATTGATAAAAATACTCTGTTGACAGAGTTCAGATAAAATTTTGGAAAAAAAAATCGATGTTTTAAGAAAAAGTCAACTGCAATTTTGAGAGGGTTGTAGGCTAAGGTGTGACGTCAATTTAGGTTAGGGGTCTGGCTTTTTGTGACGATGTGTGACGGAAGGGAGGAGGGGTAGGTAAAAATCGTCAAAAAAGCGTGACGTCATTTATGGATGACCCTACATTGCCCATGGCATCCAGGTGCGCTATAACTCGATCACATACTCAAATATGTTTTTTTTTAAAGTTATTCAGCAGCAAACAAAAGACTACAGACGTAGCGCCCATCACCATATAACTACAACAACATAAGCAACAACCACAAATCATACTACATCATACAGGATATTTCAGATATGAAGCTGGTATATGATCATATTTATTTGTTAAATAACTTCTTTATTTTCATTCATATAGCAATAAATTAAAAAAATATATTACATGTATAATTTTTAAAAACAATAATTGCAGAAACATTTTTAGAACTTCTAAAAACACAATAAAAAGACATCTAAAATGTACATTAGATATACACTTTTCAACAAACAAAAATCTCTTCGTTACCTGTACCACACAGTTGTAGGAAGTTTTGTGTGAAGCTAACGTATAGACCTACTGAATAAGTGAATTCCATTAATTTGAATACTAAGCTTTTTTTTTTTATAAGGAGATATAGTAAACCTCAATGATGAAATCGAATCTTGGAAATAAATTAAAAATCATGTTGTAATATTTCGTGTGTGTTGTTTCAGGCATGCTTGAACAATGGGTAAAATGAGAATGCCGCAATACCACACATGTTTTTGCCACGTAAGATCCTCATGTAGCCTTGCTCACCCCAACCGACACCTGGAAGAAGATGGGATTACAGAAGAACTTGGTGAGTAGACACACGATCTGAACACGGCAGATAGTACGGAAACAATACATTTTACAATTTACTCAAATCGCACATCAGCACATAACTTTACTGTAAGAGTTCTACTTATTAAACCTCAACAGAAATACATAATACAAAACCGAAGCAGAAAATAAAAATACAAAAATATCACAAATGTAGACAAAAATACACACATACCAGAGCAGACAAACATAGACACATACACCAATAGACAGTAGACAAACATACACACGTACCCCAGGTGTTCCTGACGATCCAGTAGTCCAGTCCCCCATCTGACCCATACCCCACCACCTGTACGGCGTGATCCACCTGGGTGGAGCTACATCTGGGGTCCGAGTACACCCCGGCAGTGTAGGTCTGTCGAATCAAATCAGAGCGTCATTAACTATAAATCATATTCACAGCTTATAATTGACAGATATCTGTAACTAGTTTAATGAGTCGTTAAAGTAGATGTAAAAAAATATCGGGATTAGAAAAGGATTGTTTTCCGAACAGAATTTATTTTAATTTTATGTTGTTCTGATTTCTTTTTAATTTGTATAAAGGGAATTAATTATGTCAGTGAATATAGCAGGTTTGAATAGCGAGTTACTGACCATAAGTGTTCATCGATTGTTAAAATATGTTGAAAACACCATCATTAAGTTATAATAATATTCTTTTAAATGCAACAACTATATTTAAACATTGTTTTTTTCTCTCCAAAGATTTAATGCTATAATCGTCAGTTGTTTAATAAGCATTACGCAGGAAGCAACTGGTATCACATCACATATGTACATAAAGCTACCCGGAATATACCTGTAACAATGGCATGACTTCCGGATTAAAAATATCACACTTGCATATCGAACTACCTAGAATGATGGTATGACACCTATACATCAAAATACCTTTATAAAGAAGGTATGACACCTGTGCATCAAACTACCTAGAATGATGGTATAATTTTTTTTACATCAAACTACTTATAATGATGGCATGAGTACTGTACATCAAACTACCTAGAATGATGGTATAACACCTGTAAACTACCTAGAATGATGGTATGACACCTGTAAACTACCTAGAATGATGGTATAACACCTGTAAACTACCTAGAATGATGGTATGACACCTGTAAACTACCTAGAATGATGGTATGACACCTGTAAAGTGCCTATAATAATGGTATGACACCTGTAAACTACCTAGAACGATGGTATGACACCTGTAAAGTGCCTATAATAATGGTATAACACCTGTAAACTGCCTAGAATGATGGTATGACACCTGTAAACTAACTAGAATGATGGTATAACACATGTAAACTACCTAGAATGATGGTATAACACCTGTAAACTGCCTAGAACGATGGTATGACACCTATACACTACCTAGAATGATGTTATGACACCTATACACTACCTAGAATAATGGTATGACACCTGTAAACTACCTAGAATGATGGTATGACACCTGTAAACTACCTAGAATGATGGTATGACACCTGTAAAGTGCCTATAATAATGGTATGACACCTGTAAACTACCTAGAATGATGGTATGACACCTGTAAAGTGCCTAGAATAATGGTATGACACCTGTAAACTACCTAGAACGATGGTATGACACCTGTAAAGTGCCTATAATAATGGTATAACACCTGTAAACTGCCTAGAATGATGGTATGACACCTGTAAACTAACTAGAATGATGGTATAACACATGTAAACTACCTAGAATGATGGTATAACACCTGTAAACTGCCTAGAACGATGGTATGATACCTATACACTACCTAGAATGATGTTATGACACCTATACACTACCTAGAATAATGATATGACACCTGTAAACTATCTAGAATGATGGTATGACACCTGTAAACTACCTAGAATGATGGTATGACACCTGTAAACTACCTAGAATGATGGTATGACACCTGCTTATCAAACCATCTAGAATGATGGTATGACACCTGTAAACAACCTAGAATAATGGTATGACACCTGTAAACTGCCTATAATAATGGTATGACACCTGTAAACAACCTAGAATGATGGTATGACACCTGTAAACTGCCTAGAATGATGGTATGACACCTGTAAAGCTACCTAGAATGATGGTATGACACCTGCTTATCAAACCATCTAGAATGATGGTATGACACCTGTAAACAACCTAGAATAATGGTATGACACCTGTAAACTGCCTATAATAATGGTATGACACCTGTAAACTACCTAGAATGATGGTATGACACCTGCTTATCAAACCATCTAGAATGATGGTATGACACCTGTAAACAACCTAGAATAATGGTATGACACCTGTAAACTGCCTATAATAATGGTATGACACCTGTAAACTACCTAGAATGATGGTATGACACCTGTAAACTGCCTAGAACGATGGTATGACACCTGTAAAGTTACCTAGAATGACAGTATAATACCTGTGAACTTACCTGGAAAGACTGCTGGCTGGCATCAACTAGAGCTACTATAGGTGTGGTGTGAATGACCTTTAGCATGAAGTCCTCACGACCTGCGGGGATGTAACCACTTCCGGTCACCTGGATAAAAGGTCATCACGTGATTAACAAAATCTCGCGATATTTATACATTAAAGAAATGGCTATATAATTGTAAGCAACTATTTTGAAAAACAACATTTTAATTAATCAAGTGGGGAGGGGGGGGGGGGATTTTCGAAGCTTAAATTAAACATTTAATAATTTTTTGTTCCGAAAAACACGAGAATTTGGAGAAAAAAAAATTAAAAAATGATAATTAGTGTTAAAGAAAACTTGAGAATTTGTAGGCAAATTTATGAAAATTTGAAACAAAAAAACTTCAATTCATATTTAACACAAACTAAGGATGTATATCAATGAAAATGCTTGGATTTGAATTAAATAATCAAAGGTAACTTGTATTTATTAAAATAGTTTTAGAATTCGTATCGAAATGTTGTAAGAATTTGTAATTGTAGTTAAATTTCTGAAAACGTGGGACTGGATCAAGCAAAAGATTGAGATTTTATATTTGAGAAAAAGAAATGATAACTTTTAATGAACAATGATGATATTTTGTTTTGAGGAGAATGTGAGAATTTGTACTGAGAAATCATAATATAGTTTTCAAGAAAATATGATAATTCGTATTGAAGAAAACTTATTAATGTGTACTAAAGAAAAACGAGAATTCGTATTGAAGAAAACATAAGAATTTGTATTGAAGAAGATATGATACATTTGTATTGAAGAAAACATTAGAATTCGTATTGAAGAAAACATAAGAATTCGTATTGAAGAAGATATGATACATTTGTATTGAAGAAAACATTAGAATTCGTATTGAAGAAAACATAAGAATTCGTATTGAAGAAGATATGATACATTTGTATTGAAGAAAACATTAGAATTCGTATTGAAGAAAACATAAGAATTCGTATTGAAGAAGATATGATACATTTGTATTGAAGAAAACATTAGAATTCGTATTGAAGAAAACATAAGAATTCGTATTGAAGAAGATATGATACATTTGTATTGAAGAAAACATTAGAATTCGTATTGAAGAAAACATAAGAATTCGTATTGAAGAAGATATGATACATTTGTATTGAAGAAAACATTAGAATTCGTATTGAAGAAAACATAAGAATTCGTATTGAAGAAGATATGATACATTTGTATTGAAGAAAACATTAGAATTCGTATTGAAGAAAACATAAGAATTCGTATTGAAGAAGATATGATACATTTGTATTGAAGAAAACATTAGAATTCGTATTGAAGAAAACATAAGAATTCGTATTGAAGAAGATATGATACATTTGTATTGAAGAAAACATTAGAATTCGTATTGAAGAAAACATAAGAATTCGTATTGAAGAAGATATGATACATTTGTATTGAAGAAAACATTAGAATTCGTATTGAAGAAAACATAAGAATTCGTATTGAAGAAGATATGATACATTTGTATTGAAGAAAACATTAGAATTCGTATTGAAGAAAACATAAGAATTCGTATTGAAGAAGATATGATACATTTGTATTGAAGAAAACATTAGAATTCGTATTGAAGAAAACATAAGAATTCGTATTGAAGAAGATATGATACATTTGTATTGAAGAAAACATTAGAATTCGTATTGAAGAAAACATGAGAATTCGTATTGAAGAAGATATGATACATTTGTATTGAAGAAAACATTAGAATTCGTATTGAAGAAAACATGAGAATTCGTATTGAAGAAGATATGATACATTTGTATTGAAGAAAACATTAGAATTCGTATTGAAGAAAACATAAGAATTCGTATTGAAGAAGATATGATACATTTGTATTGAAGAAAACATTAGAATTCGTATTGAAGAAAACATAAGAATTCGTATTGAAGAAGATATGATACATTTGTATTGAAGAAAACATTAGAATTCGTATTGAAGAAAACATAAGAATTTGTATTGAAGAAGATATGATACATTTGTATTGAAGAAAACATTAGAATTCGTATTGAAGAAAACATAAGAATTCGTATTGAAGAAGATATGATACATTTGTATTGAAGAAAACATTAGAATTCGTATTGAAGAAAACATAAGAATTCGTATTGAAGAAGATATGATACATTTGTATTGAAGAAAACATTAGAATTCGTATTGAAGAAAACATAAGAATTCGTATTGAAGAAGATATGATACATTTGTATTGAAGAAAACATTAGAATTCGTATTGAAGAAAACATAAGAATTCGTATTGAAGAAGATATGATACATTTGTATTGAAGAAAACATTAGAATTCGTATTGAAGAAAACATAAGAATTCGTATTGAAGAAGATATGATACATTTGTATTGAAGAAAACATTAGAATTCGTATTGAAGAAAACATAAGAATTCGTATTGAAGAAGATATGATACATTTGTATTGAAGAAAACATTAGAATTCGTATTGAAGAAAACATAAGAATTCGTATTGAAGAAGATATGATACATTTGTATTGAAGAAAACATTAGAATTCGTATTGAAGAAAACATAAGAATTCGTATTGAAGAAGATATGATACATTTGTATTGAAGAAAACATTAGAATTCGTATTGAAGAAAACATGAGAATTCGTATTGAAGAAGATATGATACATTTGTATTGAAGAAAACATTAGAATTCGTATTGAAGAAAACATAAGAATTCGTATTGAAGAAGATATGATACATTTGTATTGAAGAAAACATTAGAATTCGTATTGAAGAAAACATAAGAATTCGTATTGAAGAAGATATGATACATTTGTATTGAAGAAAACATTAGAATTCGTATTGAAGAAAACATAAGAATTCGTATTGAAGAAGATATGATACATTTGTATTGAAGAAAACATTAGAATTCGTATTGAAGAAAACATAAGAATTCGTATTGAAGAAGATATGATACATTTGTATTGAAGAAAACATTAGAATTCGTATTGAAGAAAACATAAGAATTCGTATTGAAGAAGATAGGATACATTTGTATTGAAGAAAACATTAGAATTCGTATTGAAGAAAACATAAGAATTCGTATTGAAGAAGATATGATACATTTGTATTGAAGAAAACATTAGAATTCGTATTGAAGAAAACATAAGAATTCGTATTGAAGAAGATATGATACATTTGTATTGAAGAAAACATTAGAATTCGTATTGAAGAAAACATAAGAATTCGTATTGAAGAAGATATGATACATTTGTATTGAAGAAAACATTATAATTCGTATTGAAGAAAACATGAGAATTCGTATTGAAGAAGATATGATACATTTGTATTGAAGAAAACATTAGAATTCGTATTGAAGAAAACATAAGAATTCGTATTGAAGAAGATATGATACATTTGTATTGAAGAAAACATTAGAATTCGTATTGAAGAAAACATAAGAATTCGTATTGAAGAAGATATGATACATTTGTATTGAAGAAAACATTAGAATTCGTATTGAAGAAAACATAAGAATTCGTATTGAAGAAGATATGATACATTTGTATTGAAGAAAACATTAGAATTCGTATTGAAGAAAACATAAGAATTCGTATTGAAGAAGATATGATACATTTGTATTGAAGAAAACATTAGAATTCGTATTGAAGAAAACATAAGAATTCGTATTGAAGAAGATATGATACATTTGTATTGAAGAAAACATTAGAATTCGTATTGAAGAAAACATAAGAATTCGTATTGAAGAAGATATGATACATTTGTATTGAAGAAAACATTAGAATTCGTATTGAAGAAAACATAAGAATTCGTATTGAAGAAGATATGATACATTTGTATTGAAGAAAACATTAGAATTCGTATTGAAGAAAACATAAGAATTCGTATTGAAGAAGATATGATACATTTGTATTGAAGAAAACATTAGAATTCGTATTGAAGAAAACATAAGAATTCGTATTGAAGAAGATATGATACATTTGTATTGAAGAAAACATTAGAATTCGTATTGAAGAAAACATGAGAATTCGTATTGAAGAAGATATGATACATTTGTATTGAAGAAAACATTAGAATTCGTATTGAAGAAAACATAAGAATTCGTATTGAAGAAGATATGATACATTTGTATTGAAGAAAACATTAGAATTCGTATTGAAGAAAACATAAGAATTCGTATTGAAGAAGATATGATACATTTGTATTGAAGAAAACATTAGAATTCGTATTGAAGAAAACATAAGAATTCGTATTGAAGAAGATATGATACATTTGTATTGAAGAAAACATTAGAATTCGTATTGAAGAAAACATAAGAATTCGTATTGAAGAAGATATGATACATTTGTATTGAAGAAAACATTAGAATTCGTATTGAAGAAAACATAAGAATTCGTATTGAAGAAGATATGATACATTTGTATTGAAGAAAACATTAGAATTCGTATTGAAGAAAACATAAGAATTCGTATTGAAGAAGATATGATACATTTGTATTGAAGAAAACATTAGAATTCGTATTGAAGAAAACATAAGAATTCGTATTGAAGAAGATATGATACATTTGTATTGAAGAAAACATTAGAATTCGTATTGAAGAAAACATAAGAATTCGTATTGAAGAAGATATGATACATTTGTATTGAAGAAAACATTAGAATTCGTATTGAAGAAAACATAAGAATTCGTATTGAAGAAGATATGATACATTTGTATTGAAGAAAACATTAGAATTCGTATTGAAGAAAACATAAGAATTCGTATTGAAGAAGATATGATACATTTGTATTGAAGAAAACATGAGAATTCGTATTGAAGAAAACATGAGAATTCGTATTGAAGAAAACACGAGGAGTCGAATTAAAGAAAACATGAGAATGTGTGAATTAAAAAAATTGTCGTCTGATCCAACCTTGACCACCGGCTTACACTTCCGGTTATTACAACTTCCGGTATCGTTCTGGTACGTCTCAGGGGTACACAACCCGCCTATGACCTTGATGCAGTCGAACCCGGGGTACTTGGGCTGGTGACCTTCGTTATCGCAGCACGCCCCCACCTCCTCCACGCTGAGGTGAATGGCCTTGGTCTTGGTCTGAATAGCCAGAACACTCTCCATGCCCTCTAGCGATGCCCGGAAGAGAAACAGAAAATTTCTCGTTTTTAAAACTTTCCTGTTTCAAGCAGTTTTTAAATTATCGACGTCATTAACATAATTATACACAAATCTCGTGATTTATGTAGTATACTAGACTACCTGCGTTGTCCAAGGGAAAACCGTTATTTAACGTCGTATCCAGAAACTGGAATAGCGTAAGGCATTTTAATATTGGGATATTTAAAACGGGATAGCTGTACTTGCAAAGGAATTTTTAATATGCCAGTATAAAAATTTGTTTAAAATTATTATCCATCGTGTTCTTGAAAATGCTTTAACTATATTGTTTAAGAAATTATTCTAATGCAAATTAAATCAAGGAAAACCCATCGACGACTGATTAAGTTTAAGCAGTGTCAATCATATTTTTTAATTAGAAGCCCCGGCCTTTGCGTGAAGATCAAAGTCAAAGTTAAGAAAAACATGATCGATCACAAAATGTCAGTTTATATTTTACGATCAACATTCACTAACATGAATATTGGCGAAAAACTGCATACTGTGTATATGACCAGGGTTTAGGGTTAAAACAGCTTGCGATGAAGGGTTAGGGTTAAAACAGCTGGTGATGAAGGGTTAGGGTTAAAACAGCTTGCGATGAAGGGTTAGGGTTAAATCAGCTTGTGGTGAAGGGTTAACGTTAAAACAGCTTGTGATGAAGGGTTAAGGATAAAACAATGTAGAATAACTTCACTTACTGATTTATCTTAATTATATTATTAAAATTGTGTTTACTCCTCTATAGATGTTATTTATAACAGAGAATGCACCTCCCCATTCTCAACCCCTCCCACACATACACACAGCAAAACCATTAGTCTCAAAGATTCACTAAATGTAGCAGAAGTAAAGTAACATTACCAGTGATAACATAGCCACAACAATAACAATAACATTACCAGTGATAACATAGCCACAACAATAACAAGAACATTACCAGTGATAAAATAGCCAGAACAATACCATAACAATAACATTACCAGTGATAACATAGCCACAACAATAACAATAACATTACCTGTAATAACAAAGTCCATAACATTGTCCATCATGCCCTGGTCATACACGGGCGTGATGACACCAAATTTCCGCCAATCAAAACTTTCGTCAGACATCGCCATGGTTACCTGTAAAATAGGTCACTTGTGTGTTACACGTTGGGTACGTGTGTTACATGTTGGTGACGTGAGTGTTACATGTTGAGGACGTGTGTGTTACATGTTGGGGACGAATGTTACACGTTGATGGCGTGTTTAACTCTTCATTTAACACTTGTATGAACAATGTCAATCTTGCCTTAACTTGTATGTATATGACAAGTGTAATTATATCACGTCCATGTCATCTCTGTAAATTGGATTCCGTCCCCCCCCCCCCTCCTATCCCCACGCCCCTCCCACCTGAAATGACAACTGTAAGCGGTGTGAATCTAAGGGTTAGTCAAGAATTCTATAGTCAAATGTACAGCCTTAGCTTTCATTGTATACTGCTCTAAAACGCAATTGGATTGAAAAGCTGGTTTCAAATGGTTCCAAATTTTTGTTGCCAGAAAGCATATTTTTCAGCCAAAATTTAAATATTTTATAACATTTGTGTAATAAATAGTACATAATAACTTCTGGTTTCACAAAGGCTAGAAACAGTCAAACAAATAATAGCTAGTAATATAAATATAATAGTAATTTAGCAAACTCTTTTATTTTTTTAATTTGGATCTGTAGAGTCAGTGTGTTATTGAGATTGGAGATGTTATATAATTTCATATAAATACAATACTTCGCTATACACCATAGATCACTATTGCGTATTTTTATCATGGAGAACAATTGTTCTGACTTTTTTTGTTTTACTCTCCCTGACCATTTCGGTAGACTTCAAGGAGAGGTTGAGGGCAGTTTTGAAAATATTTGAATTGATAAAATACTTCCAAACGGCTTTTCAACGGTTTATATTCAGTACAAAAATATGAAAATTAGTGTCATGGTTCGCAAACTTCTTTAATTTTTTTTATAAATATAACTATAATTTTATCGCTTGCTATATATTTTAAAAGTTTTTCTTTTTAAAATTGAGTATAATTACATATGATTTTCAAGATTTTGATTATCATTATCTCCAAAGGTTGAAATATCGATGTAGCTTGGTGAAAGAAATTGTTGTGTCACCTGATAATTTTGAGATAGCTCGCCCTGAATGACCAACGCTAAGGTGGCAATCAAGGTTACACCTAGTCCTGGTGACATCTTCACTTGATCGATCTTGGTGATCCGATATGTATCGAACTTGGTGTGTAAAGATATGTTTTATGAACGCATGAAATCCGTGGTTAAACACGTGAATTTGATCGATTGATGACACCTTGTTGATGTGTGAATCTCACTAAAGAAAATTTAATCGAGTCTCTGCGATCGATCTTTGGCCTCGTTTTGGTGTGTTATATACACCTGTCCGTGACATATCTCGCTTGATTAGGATTGATCACGTGCTATATGATCACCTAATACGTACCCTTAGAAAAAAACACATAATCAGCAAAAATTAAAAATATCTAAAAAAATTCATAAAAAAACGTTTTAATAACAAGCTTTTATGTACTAATGCACTAAAAAGTAGAAAATAAATTATAGACTACTATTTAAATTACTATAAAGAAAAGCGTGGGTCACTTTAGTACTTGAGTACCTATTGGATACCTTTACTAATATTTGAGAAGAGACCCACGCTTTTCTTTATAGTTATTTAAATAGTAGTCTGTAATTTATTTTCTACTTTTTAGTGCATTAGTACATAAAAGCTTGTTATTAAAACATTTTTTTATGAATTTTTTTTCAGTACTTTACATGTTTTATTTACAATAGAGTTACATGACTAAAAACCATTGCGCGCCTACTGAACGTGAAGTCGCGCCTACTGAAAGTGATGGCGCAGCTATTGAACGTGATGACGCGTGTGGTGTGGTTGGCTAGATATGCCTACTAATTCGGTCCAAATTTTAATTAATTCATTAAAAATCAATTAGGCATCCAATTAAGTCAAATTTAGTTTCAGATTGCATTGTCTTCATGTCTTGACCCACGTGCCAAATGTGAATCGTATCGGTCAAGTAGAAGTTTCCGAATTTTCACTCCTGCGTTTCCATCTAGACTGACGACAGACAGAGGAAGTGAGTTAAATAAAAGCTTGTAATAAAAAAAGTCGAAAAATATTTTTTCAGCAATCTTTAGAGACTTAAAACAAAGAAAATAATCCATATGTAATTATTAAAATGACCAGCACAGCAAGTACGTTAAAAATTAAGAAAGTGTGCTAATTAGAAATCAAGGTGAGGCTATTAAGTACGAAAACACCAGAAGTCAACTTGTTATGTTGTATTGTGTTTATTTATAAACTGTTTCTGTTTTTTGTTCATATTGTTAAAGATACCGACGATAAGGACGTACTACATGTATCACGATGTTGTTGGATGTATCACTGTTGGATGTATCACTGTTGGATGTATCACTGTTGGATGTATCACTGTTGGATGTATCACTGTTGGATGTATCACTGTTGGATGTATCACATTGTTGGATGTATCACTGTTGGATGTATCATTGTTGGATGTATCACTGTTGGATGTATCACTGTTGGATGTATCATTGTTGGATGTATCACTGTTGGATGTATCACTGTTGGATGTATCACTGTTGGATGTATCACTGTTGGATGTATCTCTGTTGGATGTATCACATTGTTGGATGTATCACTGTTGGATGTATCACATTGTTGCATGTATCACAATATTTGATGTATCACATTGTTGGATGTATCACATTGTTGCATGTATCACAATATTTGATGTATCACATTGTTGGATGTATCACATTGTTGCATGTATCACAATATTTGATGTATCACACCGAGACGTCACAGATGGTGATCACCTGTCAAACACCGTCGAGTGAGCAACATTTATGTAGAAATAAAGTCGCTGGTCTACCTGTGTACAAGGGCGTGTCCATTGTGGTGCTAGGTGGGTGACACGTGACGCCACAAAATGTTACATCACGACTCGTTACATCAGGACACGTTACATTACATGTTACATCACGAATTGTATATCACACAACATTACATGACGACGCATCACATCAAGTCACATTACATCCCGACAGGTATATCACAAAACGTCACATAACGACACGGCACATCAAGAAACGTTACATCACGATACATTAATTGCGACAGATTAATTACGACACTATAAAAAGATATTACTTTTTGAATTGTTTTGGATCGTGGTAAGCCATGGTTCACCTAATATGACGCTACACTGCTTGTAGAACGAGCCTTAAAAATTTATTTCGTGTTTTATTTTTCGTGAAACGATCAGTTTCTTTAAAGCAGTCTAACATACTACACCTTCTGTCATGTTACACGCACCGTGCATTGCTTATAGATCTTATCGAACTGTTTTAAAATGTGGGTACACCTCTGTTTTTTTTTTATCACGTTAATTTCAAGCCACAGCGTTTTGATGAGCTTTTAACTGTAGACATAACATAACCTGTGCATCATACAGCCAGCTGAGGCCGTGGACTTTATCGGCTGATTGAAAGCAGTGGATCTGTTGCCGGTAACGGTTTTATTTCAACCGCTTGCTTTTCGAAACTACAGGATCTGTTTGAGAGAGCAGTTTTTGTATCAACATTTAACTGTTGCTTTATTTGTGGGCCTATTTAAAAATGTCCTTCATTGGTGATAGATTTTTGCTGTTGCTCTAATTGAATGTTATAAAGTTTTTAACGTAGGTCGGAATTTACTTTCCAACATAACGTCAAGTGTTTCTCTGTGTTATTGCAATCACAATATAGAGAGTAGGCTACGTGTTGATGTCAGCTAGATAATGTCTGTACCATAACAAACTGATTGTCTATATCCTAACCACGGTAATGTCTATACCCTAACCAAGGTAATGTATATACCCTAACCAAGGTAATGTCTATACCCTAACCAAGGTAATGTCTATATCCTAACCAAGGTAATGTCTATACCCTAACCAAGGTAATGTCTATACCCTAACCTAGGTAATGTCTATATCCTAACCAAGGTAATGTCTATACCCTAACCAAGGTAATGTCTATATCCTAACCAAGGTAATGTCTATACCCTAACCAAGGTAATGTCTATACCCTAACCAAGGTAATGTCTATATCCTAACCAAGGTAATGTCTATACCCTAACCAAGGGCGGCTATAGCGAAGCAAATGACATTTCTAGCTAAAGATAGTTAGCTACCACTAGACTACATCTATTGACACATCTATTTTTGTGTCCTGACAGGTACATGACACAAATTTCACAATTTGAGATTAAGCAGTCAACTTCCGGTCGAAACATGAAAAGGTATGATGGTTGCTTTAAAAATAGGTTTAGGAGTTTTTAATGATATTTAAGGAGAAAGGGGTATCATGTCTATTGTTGTCTGCAGTCCAATTGACTAGCAGTGTTTAGTCAAGTGCTTTTTAAAAAAAATATCTCTCCAGTGTCCACAATCCCCTCCCCACCTCCTTTCAGAAATAGAAAAATATTAATTTATATAGAAAGTAATCACCAGCGTCCTCCCCTTTATGGTTCAAGTGCAACTCCACCCCGGCCCCCGAAGTTTCAAGCGCTATCCCCGGGAAAAATAGAGAGGGGAGGGGACAAATTAGTTCTTAAAATATTTACGGAAACTCAATTTTCGGAAGACGTATTGACGAAAGTGTCGGAAGACGTATAGTAGACAGAAGTGTCGGAAGACGTTTTGACAAAGTGACGGAAAAATTATTTACGGAAATGACGGAAAACGACGGAAGTGACGGAAGAATTATTGACGTAAGTGACGGAATGGATATTAAACGGGATCGATTTCTCCGTCCCTATGTAACGATAATTATTTCGTTGTTTGGAGAGTACGATCGCTTAAATTTAACAAAGTTATTTCTTCAACTTTACCTCCCAGCGACATGAGCCCTTCATTCATCCCACGGAGAGCTGTTGCCTTCATCGCTGTGGTCGGGCTGTTCGTGGTTTTGGGGGTGGTGCTTACGAAAACCTCACACATCACTACCACCTGGTCCCAGCTCTTCACACAGGAACAGCTGACGGCTGAAAAACTGGAAAAATCCATCGACGAGGTCAAAACCTTGGCCGACTCCAAGTTCGATGACTTGCTGAAATACGTCGAACAATGCAACGACATCATCAACAGCGACTCCAAAGAACTGATGAAATCGTTGAAAGAATCGTCAATGAAAACGTTAAACGATTTTCAGATGAAAATTGACGAAATGAAAACGAAGAAAAATCCATGTGTGAAAGACGTTCAGATGGATGAAGTGGATGATAGTGGAGCTTTAGGTAGGTAAACCTTGGTCTCACAGGTGGGGTCTTGTCTTTGCGATGTGTGCTTTTTTTTCTTTACGTGCATATATATAGAAATATATGAATATATAAATGTGTATATTTTATAATTATATATATATATATATATATATATATATATATATATATATATATATATATATATATATATATATATGTGACGAGCGAACATTTACCCTGCTCGCAGCGCCAATTGTGACGAGCGAACATTTATCCTGCCGACAACGCCAATTGTAACGAGCCAACAGTTACCATGCTCGCAACGCCACATGTAATGAGACCTAATTGCCTGTAGTGCCACGTGTTAACGAGTTTAACCACTCATTCTAGACAACATTGACCACAGTATAGATACTCAAGATGCAGGTTCGCTATTGATCCTTTATTACATGAATCAAGAAATGCTTCATAATAACACAATAAATCAACAGGAATGCTTCTCAATAATAGTCTGAATCAACTGACCCCTAACAGTCCTTCACTAGGCTTTATATAACTGAATCCACATGTCTATAATCCTCCTTAACACAATACGGCTAACCCGTTCTATAACCGACTTGACATAGTCACACAGACTGACTGATCTAAGCGAGCGATGAAAGAGGTAAGAGCCTCGAAACGGGAAGAGAGAGAGTTCTCCCGTCCCCTCCTATTTATGCCTTGAAATCGTAGTCGTACTTGTCTCCATTTCCGTAATCGATACTTGTAATCGATGTATCCGAATACTAATGTCGCAGTTTCTGACGTACCGTCCGATTCACTAAAACATCTGCGTCCCATCCATCAAAGTTGACAGCTCGTCTGAAACTTCTCGTACCGTTTCCCAAAATAGCACGCGTTGGCTTTGAGATTGTTATCAGACCGATCCAATAAGCCACCTGTTATGGTTGCGTCAGATTTCATACTGCGTCGCGGCTTCTCGTTCGTTATCATTTGTAACTGGTAGTTAGGCCTACCCCAGTTACATCCACCCCTGCTTTTTTTGTGTGTTTTCAACCACAAACAACGCCTGGCAGGTGCACTCCTCCAAAGTCAATCGCACAGTCGTAAAAAAAAATTTATTGTTCCACTCACTGTCCACGACGTTCCATTCGTATACGATTGACAGTTATACCTATTTCACATATCAACTGTGTCTACATCATCTTCCTGAGACACAAAACAGTTCTAGAATTCACATCCACCCTTTCCATTTGGTGCCTTCACCAGTTCACTTCTATAGCTCTTTGAACAGTCTGTTTTCATACCAGCGCGACCATGAAAGAATTGATGGTTGCTGACAAAAAATTTCGTATTCCTTCTGTTCCTTAAACTTCTCCGCGGACCACTTATCTGATGGTCTACTGTCTCTCTGCTTCTGGAGGGACCGGGATCCTCATTGTTGCCGGTATCCTCCCCTTGCGTATCGCGGTTGTTCTGTTGATGGTGATATGGTTCCGGAATGGGTATGTGAATTTCCGTTATAACTTCCGGTTCCCTAATTGTCTTGGGTTTCTCTGTGTGTAACTGCTCTTCTTGCCTATTCCAATATTTCTTTAATTGAGCAATATTCGCCCACCGATCCGGTTTGGCGTGATCGATGGGTCTTATCTTAAAGGGGCCACCTGCTGCTTTAGGCATCTCCACGACTTGCCATATCTCCTGTCCCCAGAGATCGTGGATTTTGTTTCTGCCTAACGGGTGGCTACGCAGTAATACCCTGTCATTCAGTTTGAGTGGCGGGTCCTTCGTCTGTATCGGCGGTTCCCTTCGCCGAGATTCATGTTCTAGTCTTTCCTGTACTACCCTGTACATTTCTCTAATTCTTCTCATATGTTCATTCACATATTCCAGTGCGGTGTATGAGCCAGTCATACTCTCCCTTTTTCCTAGGAACAAATCAAGAGGGAGTCGAGCCTCTCGTCCGAACAGCAACATGTATGGCGTAAAGCCGGTTGTGGCATGGGGTGTGCAGTTGTATAGATATACCAACTCTGGGAGAAAATCAGGCCAACGTTTTTTCTGTTCAGGTTCTAGCGTACGCAGCAAATCATGCATGCTGCGGTTGAACCGTTCACACTGTCCGTTTCCCTTCGGATTAAATGTGGTTGTTCTAGATTTGTTGATCCCGTAGTGGCTGCACAGTTGGTTAATTACTTCTGACTCGAAAGCCCTTCCTTGGTCAGAGTGTAATTGTCTTGGTATGCCATATTTGATGAACCAATGTTCTATTAATACCTTTGCCACTGTTTTGGCAGTCTGATCTCGTGTGGGCACCGCCACAGTCCATTTGGTGAATACATCAGTCATTACCAACACATGTTCCGTCCCATCCGATGATTGCTCCAACGACGTAAAGTCCATAGCCACAATCTCTAGTGGTTTTGTCGCCAGTAGGTGTCTTGATGGCTGTCTCATTTTGACAACTGGCATTTTCGCATGCTGACACCTCACACAAGCCTCACAATGGCGTTTGACCTCCATTTCCATATTGGGCCAGTAACACCTCCGTCGTAATATTTTGTGCGTCCCGTCCTGACCCTGGTGTCCTGCCCTGTCATGTGCCAACCTTAGCACTTCTTCTCTTAACTGTCCAGGCACCACCACCTGGTGTATTGTCCCATCAATTTGGTCATGAATTCTCCGTATGAGAACACCATCCTTTATACTGAGACGGTTCCACTGACTCAGTATTTTCTTTGTTTCTCGACCAAATTGTTCTCTTTCCCTTCTTCCTGGGAATTTTTGTTCCTGGACGTATTTCAATAGCGGTTGTAAGCCACTATCCGTTCTCTGGGCATCTCTTATCTTTTGGTGATTAAGGCAAATAAAATCACTACTGTCCATATGTTCGGGTTCCGTGGATATGTGCTCCACCCCGGTCTGCCCGTTTTGCATCACTTGTACCCCATGAGGGATATCTGTTGACGCTCTGACCTCACATATTCCTGTCAGTGTTTCTTCCTCATCACCCGGTCTCTCGTAAGGATTCCTTGATAACGCGTCAGCATTACCATTGGACTGCCCTGGGCGATATTTTCTCTCCAGGTCAAAGAGTGCCAATTCTGCTGCCCATCGCTGTTCGATGGATCCCAACTTTGCTGTAATTTGAAGTTCTTTTTCAATATCTGATAATTTTTCTAGTTTGCCAACACTGTTCTGTTGTCCACTATTTTTATTTACTTCTTCCGATAACAGACACTCTAAAGATGAACATTTCTCCTGTGCTTTTAATTTGCATGAACTTTTCCTATCCAGTTTCCTGGTTAGACTTTGAATTCCTTTATTAAGTCTACCAATTTTCTTCTTATCATCATTTTTCTCTACCAACAAATTGTTCACTTGAATCTTTTCAACATTCAAGTTCATTTCACAGTTCATTTTTTCCATTAGTTGTGTTTTACCTTTCTTTTTCTCCTTACTGTGTTTCTTTGTCATTTTGTTTACCAAGTCATTACCTCGCCGCTCTGTAACCTTGACCTGTCCTACAGAGAGCGATCGTTTCACCGGACAGTGTTGTGCCATATGTCCGGGTTGTGAGCGGGACACGCAAATTGGTCGACCATCAGCCGTCCACCGGAGCGATGGACCGGCAGGTCGCGGCTGTCCAACCTGTCTCTGTTTTGTCCCGTTTTTGCCCTGATTCTCAGCTGTTGACCTGCTGTCTAACCTCTCCAATCGTTGGTCAACCTTAACCAGGTGGGCCAACAGTTGAGCCATCATGGTCTCCATCGTGTCGGCCCCTGTGGGTGGGGATTGTCTCTGTTCAGGCACAGAGACTTTGTCCACCGAACAGTTCGATTGGTCCTCATCCTCGGACCTGCGGATCGCTGAGTTCCTGACCTGAAGGAAGGTCAACTGCGGGTCTTTGTGGACCTCCTCTTTCAACTCTCTTCTTAGGATCGGGGTTGCTAGCCCCTCGATGAACTGGTCCCTCAGTAGGCGTACATCAATGTCCGGTATTTTGACCTTTGCCGAATCAAAGGCCCTGTTCATCCTGTGTGAGTACTCCATCACACTCTCCGCCATTCTCTGCTTTAAGCCCACGAATCCCGATAGCAGTTGCACTCCCGACCGTCTCTCCCCAAAGGTCTCCATAATCAGATCCAGCACCTTATCTGGATCTGATTGGACGGTTTTTTCGTGGCATTTTACCTCTGCCCTGACCGTCTCTCCTATACTTCCCATCAGCAGTCTTAATCTTTCCTCTGGTGACATGTTTCTCGCGGCCCAGGCAGCCCTGACCTCTTCGCTGAACCTGTTGGTTAAAGTTGGATTACCGTCCCCGTAAAATTTGTTGACGTGGGACTCACTGGGCAGGACCACAATATGGATCGGCTTTTTGTCCACATTTTGTCCTGGTCCATCTGGAGGCAAAGGGTCATCTTTACCGTTGCCTATCTTATCTGACTCAGATTGTTGGGCCAGCAGGAGTTTTTGTTCCTTTCCGATATCTAAAATATCACTCCCGCGTCTGCCACTCACACCAAGGAAAAATGTTGCAGCTATGCAGCAGATAGTGTTGCCCAAAAGGGAGCTCATGACACATTTCCAGTGTCCAAGAGTTACATCCATATCTTGGTTGCCATCTTTGCCCAGTATTTGTCCAACAACCCAGTTGGAGATACCAATGACAATTATCTGGATGCTGGTGGTCAGCACCATAGCTGTCCCCAGGGTAGTTGGTGCTACAACTAGGGGTATACTGAGCCACATGCTTGCAGCAGCAAAAGAGCATGTGACACCAAGCCAGAATGATAATGAAAGGTGTCTCATCTCTGTTCTTTTCAATTTCCTCGATTCTGATTTCAGTTTTCCCTTTTATTTATTTCCTTCAAATAAAAAAAGACGTTTCTTACCGTGTGTGTATGAAAAATTTTTCCTCAATTTTCACAGTTCCTGAATGTCCGAATTCACACACACACTAAACACAGTTATGCACAAGGTTGACTATAGGTGCCTTAAACGGCAAGTCTAGTTGAATTCATCCTGATCGCAGCGCCAATTGTGACGAGCGAACATTTACCCTGCTCGCAGCGCCAATTGTGACGAGCGAACATTTATCCTGCCGACAACGCCAATTGTAACGAGCCAACAGTTACCATGCTCGCAACGCCACATGTAATGAGACCTAATTGCCTGTAGTGCCACGTGTTAACGAGTTTAACCACTCATTCTAGACAACATTGACCACAGTATAGATACTCAAGATGCAGGTTCGCTATTGATCCTTTATTACATGAATCAAGAAATGCTTCATAATAACACAATAAATCAACAGGAATGCTTCTCAATAATAGTCTGAATCAACTGACCCCTAACAGTCCTTCACTAGGCTTTATATAACTGAATCCACATGTCTATAATCCTCCTTAACACAATACGGCTAACCCGTTCTATAACCGACTTGACATAGTCACACAGACTGACTGATCTAAGCGAGCGATGAAAGAGGTAAGAGCCTCGAAACGGGAAGAGAGAGAGTTCTCCCGTCCCCTCCTATTTATGCCTTGAAATCGTAGTCGTACTTGTCTCCATTTCCGTAATCGATACTTGTAATCGATGTATCCGAATACTAATGTCGCAGTTTCTGACGTACCGTCCGATTCACTAAAACATCTGCGTCCCATCCATCAAAGTTGACAGCTCGTCTGAAACTTCTCGTACCGTTTCCCAAAATAGCACGCGTTGGCTTTGAGATTGTTATCAGACCGATCCAATAAGCCACCTGTTATGGTTGCGTCAGATTTCATACTGCGTCGCGGCTTCTCGTTCGTTATCATTTGTAACTGGTAGTTAGGCCTACCCCAGTTACATATATATATATATATATATATATATATATATATATATATATATATATATATATATATATATATATATATATATATATATATATATATATATATATATATATATATATATATTGATAAGGGGTGAAGTGGTACAGGGCCGATTCCATAGCTTTAAAGAAACTCATTAAAAACATAACAAAGAAAACATGTAAGTTTTACTATATAGTCACATTGTTTTAACACCATATCCATTTATCTACAGAGTACCTGAAGGATTTTAACGCTCGATTTGGTGGCAACGCCTCGCTGACCGCCAACCCTGCTGACGTCACAACAATCAAAACATGGTGGGAGGCGGCGGCCATGATGGCCTCGTAAGTTGTGGTTTTGTTCTCTTGTTAAGGCAGGGGCGCTGTCAGGGTTTTGGCAGAGACGCTGTCAAGGGTGGGCAAGGTATATGCACGGGTGTTTTGTAATCTAGACATTGTGTGCTGTAATGTATGAATTGTGTTCTGTAATCACTGACATAGTGTGCTGTAATGTATGAATTGTGTTTTTAGATACACGTATTTAATGACTTATGACTTATATCTCAGTTACATGAACCCACCACTGAGATACCAGTGTAAACATCTGGCCAAGCTTGGGAACTGGCCAGTTTGTCAGGATGAGCCTTACGTGGTTAAAGCCCCTTGTATTGTGTTTTCTTTTGGGTAGGTGCTAGCATTAAATTTTGGGCCAGGTGCTAACGTTACAAGTTGGGTGCAGGTGCTAACATTACAAGTTGGGTGCAGGTGCTAACATTACAAGTTGGGTGCAGGTGCTAACATTACAAGTTGGGTGCAGGTGCTAACATTACAAGTTGGGTGCAGGTGCTAACATTACAAGTTGGGTGCAGGTGCTAACATTACAAGTTGGGTGCAGGTGCTAACATTACAAGTTGGGTGCAGGTGCTAACATTACAAGTTGGGTGCAGGTGCTAACATTACATGTTGGGTGCAGGTGCTAATGTTACATGTGCGGTGCTGGTGCTAACATTACATGTTGAATGCAGGTGCTAACATTACATGTTGAATGCAGGTGCTAACATTACATGTTGGGGTGCAGGTCCTAACGTTACATTGTTGGATGAAGGTGATAAAATTACATGTTAATATATATTCTTTTATTTCTTTTGTGTGTGTCTTAAATTATGGATTTTTATTTTAACAGGCCGCTAATATTGCTATTGCTAGATTTTAAAAAAAAGGTGTGATATTTAAATACGATGAAATAAATTTATATTTGATCAGCATCCTAGTTTCTTTAATGCATATCTTGGAAGGGAAAATAATTTATATCATAAATACATATTTCAATCCCCCAAAATCGGAGAGAAATGTTTAAAAGAAACGCTGACCGTCATCTCACACATTAATGTTATTTGTTTAGACTGACAGATCGTCAATATTAAACCAATAGAGTGATATTGACAAAAATGTTAACATTTTTTTTATCCAATAAAATAAATTTGGAAAGTTTTAATTATAGTCTTATTCAATTAATTTTTTTAGCTTTCTATAGGTCTACTTGTCTTATCCTATTGTTATCGTTTGTGTTTAATAATGTTAATGTTTGTGTTTATCATTGTTAACTTTTGAGTTTAACATTGTTAAATTATGTTAACATAATTAGATTGTTATATTTTGTGTTTAACATTTTTACCTTTGTGGTTAACATAATAACACTGTTATCTTTTGTGTTTAACACTGTTATCTTTTGTGTTTAACATTGATAACTTTTTGTATAACATAATAACATTGTTATATTTTGTTTCTAACATAATAACATTGTTATCTTTTGTTTTAAACATAATAACATTGTTATCTTTGGTGTTTAACTTTGTTAACTTTGTGTTTAACATAATAACATTGTTATCTTTTGTGTTTAAAATAATAACATTAATATCTTTTGTCTTTAACGTTGTTAACTATTGTGATAACTAAACTCTTTTTTTTTGTTGTTTAGCCACTATAAACTATATATACGTTATGTTTGTCAGCATTTTGTTTAGATCATTAACGATAGCTGGCTAAAGACGCAAGTAGAATGAACACAAACTGCACGGTATTGATTTGATCCTTTCTGATTGGTTAATAGCTGGCACGTGATCGATTGAACTCAGTGTTTGGGTAGTTTAACAGATAGCAACAGATTAACAGGGGCCGCTACTTTAAGAATACTATGTTGCATACAGGCTTGGTTAAATCCCTTGAATATTTAGACACTCAGATTATATTATTGCTCGTTTTTAGCTTTTGTAATTTTTATCATTATGATTTAAATGCGTTTTGAAGTGGCTATTATTATTTTATTAGTTTATATTATTATTTTTTTGTAAACATTAAACGTTGCTATGTATTTAGCTGGTTTTATAGTTAGAATTTTTTAGTATTTTATTAATTTTGTTTCTAATTTCTTTATCTTAAGTATTTGCTGTATCCTCAGTATCCTGTTATCGTTATTGATCTTATATTAACTGTTGCTATTATTTTTGTTTTAGTATCTTAACACTATAAACTTGACTGTGCTAACATCACACACTCGCTTATTGCAGGATCAATAACGACTTCAGCTTTGATGACGCTCTGGGCGCACTAGGTTGTAATGTCAGCTCATTTGACCCCAGGTATGTAAACCTACATGTTGCACCAGGTATGTAAACCTTCATGTTGCACCAGGTATGTAAACCTACAGGTTGCACCAGGTATGTAAACCTACAGGTTGCACTAGGCATGTAAACCTACAGGTTGCACCAGGTATGTAAACCTACAGGTTGCACCAGGTATGTAAACCTACAGGTTGCACCAGGTATGTAAACCTACAGGCTGCACCAGGTATGTAAACCTACAGGTTGCACCAGGTATGTAAACCTACAGGTTGCACCAGGTATGTAAACCTACAGGTTGCACCAGGTATGTAAACCTACAGGTTGCACAAGGTATGTAAACCTACAGGTTGCACCAGGTATGTAAACCTACAGGTTGCACCAGGTATGTAAACCTACAGGTAGCACCAGGTACGTAAACCTACAGGTTGCACTAGGTATGTAAACCGACAGGTAACCCCAGGTAGGTACAGCATTTATGAATTAGTTTGAGCATTTAATGTGGTTTTTTGTGGGATAAAACATGTTTATATATAATAGTTTGCAAATGTTTTATCTGATGAGTTGAGTTTACATCAAGCCAACTTCCACAAAACACAATTTCCAAAGACCCCCATTCCCTTTTGGGTCTTAGTAGTGGGATTTATTTTGAGTGAATAAGCTTTATAGAAGCGAGGTGAGAGTAATGAGAAACTGGCTTCTGTTGTACTGTGTAGCCGACAGACCGTTTTAATGGGAAACTGGGTCGTCTAGTTATTATTATTTCCTTAAAGATTGCCATGTTCGCTAAATATTTCACCACCAGCATGAAGAAAGAGACCCACGTACGAAGCCCGCAAGTGACCTTCTACAACATGGGACTAGGCAGTGTCAACACCAACGGGTTCACCCCAAACAAGGATGGGTATGTTAAGAACACACAGACCTGGCAGATCCGAACCTTGAAGGGTTTTACAAAACACCTGGGGCTAGAGAACGTAAGATATATTTAGTTTTACAGGTAACAAAAATGTAATATTATTTTTACAAAACTCTTTATTAAAAGGAGGTCATTTTTAGTTTTACAAAACCTAAACCCGTTGGAAGAATTAAAGAGAATTTTGTTAATCCAACCATACGGTTGTGTTAAATATTTTAGTATGAATTCAAGTAGCAACAAAACCAAACACACTCGACCACACATGGGACTGTATGGTCGATTGGTAGAGTTTTCAATTGCTAACTCGAAAGTCTCGAGTTCGGATCCCTGGCTTAAGCGACGTCCCAGAGTTCACCCCGCTCTAAGGGGTACTTGACCCACGTGAAGGAAAGTAAAGAAGGCTGGGCATACCGCTTACCACACAATTCTTCAAATGCCGAGGTCCAGAAACAGTTAACTCTACATCACCTGCCGCATGGATAATAAGGTTCTGAAGGGTTAACAAAAAACAAGTACAACTAATAGACGAGGTACTTTACGATAATAAGGCATAATGTCATCGTCTCAGTGTTTTAGTTTTGATATATTTCCCCAGCGTGTGATAGACGTCTTGAAATTTGACATCGAATCCTACGAGTGGCAAGTCTTAGATAACATCATAGAGACGGACATGTTGAAGTACGTGCGGCATTTGTTTATCGAGTACCACTTGTTTCCGTCTAGACCTGCTAAGGAGGACTATGTCTTGTATTACAAGGTACATTTTACTTTATTAATTTAGGGCCTCTAGTTATGAATTTTTATAGTACAGTGTAGAAAAATTCAAGTATGTCATTTAAACATGAGTAGTCATTTTATTACATACATCTGACTAATGCAATACAGTTATAAAGAAAATAAGTACTTTTTCGAACCTTACAGGCAAGGAGGCAGTCGAAGTAGAGTTCACTTATTTCAGTGACCTGGGCATATGAAGGGATGTTTTGGTCAGCACTATCACCAGCCGCTTTTACTCCCTAATGCGAGTTACGGTACCGATCAGAGCTGGGTGGACTCAGGGACGTTCCACTGACTTGAACCGGGATTCGAACTCGATACTTTCAAGTCAGCAGCCGAACTCTCTACCACGCGTCCCTTCTAAAATAGCTAAGCAGTGTATTTTGTATTGCGATTGTAGGAATATTTGTTCATAATATATCTGTGAGAGGTCAATATATATATAACAAAGGAGTTGGATACAGCGTTTTAATATAATACGACCTGGAAGAAAAAACAATGTTGTCTAGTATATGTATACGTGATTAATTAACATAAGCTTAAATTAATCCTCCACCAGATGATGAGGCATATCAGGAGGCTGGGGTTCAAGGAGTACAAATTTGAGACGTATAAAAAACTCGACAGCGCCGAGACGTTTCGATATCAGAGTCATGTGATGTACGTTAATACCAAGTTTGTGTGGGATTAAGGGGTTGGTCAAGGTGTGGGTGGTTGGTCAAGGTATGGGTGGTTGGTCAAGGTCTGGGTGGTTGGTCAAGGTCTGGGTGGTTGGTCGAGGTCTGGGTGGTTGGTCAAGGTCTGGGTGGTTGGTCAAGGTCTGGGTGGTTGGTCGAGGTCTGGGTGGTTGGTCAAGGTGTGGGTGGTTGGTCAAGGTATGGGTGGTTGGTCAAGGTATGGATGGTTGGTCAAGGTGTGGGTGGTTGGTCAAGGTGTGGGTGGTTGGTCAAGGTGTGGGTGGTTGGTCAAGGTATGGGTGGTTGGTCAAGGTGTAGTTGGTTGGTCAAGGTGTGGGTGGTTGGTCAAGGTGTGGGTGGTTGGTCAAGGTATGGATGGTTGGTCAAGGTAGGGTGGTTGGTCAAGGTCTGGGTGGTTGGTCAAGGTGTGGGTGGTTGGTCAAGGTATGGGTGGTTGGTCAAGGTGTAGTTGGTTGGTCAAGGTGTGGATGGTTGGTCAAGGTGTGGGTGGTTGGTCAGGGTGTGGGTGGTTGGTCAATGTATGGGTGGTTGGTCAAGGTGTGGGTGGTTGGTCGAGGTGTGGGTGGTTGGTCAAGGTGTGGGTGGTTGGTCAAGGTATGGGTGGTTGGTCAAGGTTTGGGTGGTTGGTTAAGGTTTGGGTGGTTGGTCAAGGTATGGGTGGTTGGTCAAGGGGGGGGGGTGGTTGGTCAAGGTGTGGGTGGTTGGTCAAGGTGTGGGTGGTTGGTCAAGGTATGGGTGGTTGGTTGGTCAAGGTTTGGGTGGTTGGTGAAGGTAAGGGTGGTTGGTCAAGGTATGGGTGGTTGGTCAAGGTGTGGGTAGTTGGTAAGGACGGATGGCTGGTCAAGTGTCAGTGATAGCAGGATGGTTAGTAAGGTATGGATGGCGATTGGGTTGACCAGGTGTGGGGGATGGTGACGAGGTGGTTGACAAGGAATAAAATAATGACTGGGTTGTTGGCTCAATGTTGATGGTCAATAAATGGTTGGCGAGGTGTGGATGGTGGGTAAGTGGTTGGCCAAGGTGTGGTTGGTGGGTAAGTGGTTGGCTAAGGTGTGGATGGTGGGTAAGTGGTTGGACGAGGTGTGGATGGTGGGTAAATGGTTGGCCGAGGTGTGGATGGTGGGTAAGTGGTTGGCCAAGGTGTGGATGGTGGGTAAGTGGTTGGACGAGGTGTGGATGGTGGGTAAGTGGTTGGCCAAGGTGTGGATGGTGGGTAAGTGGTTGGCGATGAGCGGATGGTGGGTAAATGGTTGACCGAGGTGTGTATATTGGAAAAGTGGTTGGCGAGATGTTGTTAAGCGAATATATTTGTAACTTCCTTCTCTTATTGTTGGGGCTTTTAGTTTATTGATTTGGTTTTTGTGTACCCACATTTTTAAAAAGATAAACAATTGAGTTCCGACTGAACGCCTTCATCAGACAGTGTGTTGTCTGGTTTGGACTTCAAACGCCAGTGTGTCATTGTGTTCTTTGATTTGTCTGTTTCAAAGTCCACTATTTTTACACTATTGTGTGATGCAAATTCAAAGAATAAATTGTCGGCTCACACTAACAAATGCTTACACACTACACACACACTACACAACAAACCCATAACTCACACAAACACACACTATGTTGCTTGAAATTTTTTCTATAGACTGCTTTTGAGGCTAACATGTATTTAATGTGTGCTGAGTTCTTCATTAAAATGAATATCATTAAACCTATGAATACTTTGTTTTATAACGTGTTTGTACAAAATATTAGATAGCACTTCACTTTCACCTGTAGTACTTTATTGGTACCAATAAATTCTCAGGAATAGTAGATCAACACGCATGTACACAGTGTTTCTTCCAGACTTTTTTTCCGAGAGGGGTGTGTGGGTATTTGAAATTTTTGAAATTTTCGTGGGGGGGGGGGGAGCTAAAATTTACGGGGTGGGGGGGGGGTCGAACACTGTTAAAAGTATATATTTTCTATATAAATTCCATTTCGTTCCGGGGTGCCTAGAAGAAACTCTGCAAGTACAAGAATGCCACGGTAAAATGATGATCTACCTAAAGTTTTCTGTTACTGATCCAATGCCGCAGTGCATACGTTGAAACTTGGATCTATTTAGCACAAAACAAGCGTCATGTGAAATGAGCGATTTTCATTCTTTGGGACAATGACATGACATGTAAAATAAGTTGTTGACGATCAGTGTATTTGGGATTCTTGTGTGCGATTTTGGATGTCCACAAAAATCGATGTACGAGAAATCAATGTACATAAATTTAATGTACACAAACTCAATGTACTCAAACTCAATGTACACAAACTCAATGTAAAAAAAAAATCAAGGTGTAAAATAAATGAACTTGAATCAATATACATAAAACTACCTTTCAACAAAACAATAAAAAATATTACCGAAATGAAAAATGTAAGGCTGAAACAGTTTATTATATAATAAAAAGCCCCTCACGTATTCGGGCTACATAAGACATAATTTCTCTTCTATTTTCTTAACATTTTCTTTATAATCAAGTTCCCATTTTCTTTATAATCAAGTTCCCATTTTCTTTATAATCAAGTTCCCATTTTCTTTATAATCACTTTCCCATTTTCTTTATAATCAAGTCAGCCATATCAAACCACCATAAAGTGGGAGGTGGGTGGATGAAAAGTGGGTGGGGCCTGTATCGTGTGCTGTAGTGGGCTGTGACATATTGGCAGGTTTACACAGAAGTATCACCGTGTCATGTTTCTCTTTACCACACACATCATACGGTTTCATCAAACATAACATCATACGGTTTCATCAAACATAACATCATACGGTTTCATCAAACATGCATCATACGGTTTCATCAAACATGCATCATACGGTTTCATCAAACATAACATCATACGGTTTCATCAAACATAACATCATACGGTTTCATCAAACATACATCATACGGTTTCATCAAACATAACATCATGCGGTTTCATCAAACATAACATCATACGGTTTCATCAAACATAACATCATACGGTTTCATCAAACATAACATCATACGGTTTCATCAAACATAACATCATACGGTTTCATCAAACATACATCATACGGTTTCATCAAACATACATCATACGGTTTCATCAAACATAACATCATACGGTTTCATCAAACATACATCATACGGTTTCATCAAACATAACATCATACGGTTTCATCAAACATACATCATACGGTTTCATCAAACATACATCATACGGTTTCATCAAACATAACATCATACGGTTTCATCAAACATACATCATACGATTTCATCAAACATAACATCATACGGATTCATCAAACATAACACTGACATGAAGATAACGACGACGAAAACACAAACCAAGCTTTTATGTTCAATGGCCACACGAAACGATGTTTCCATTCATCTAATAGGTGCTACAGCACAAACAAACGATACATCTTTACGGGATGCTGCGTCGATTACTATACAAAACACGACCACATCAAAATATTACTTTATCACTGCCCTGAAACTGTGAAAGGTTCTTTGTTGTTCAATCAAACATGCGCTTTGTTGGATCAGTTCTTAAGCCTGTAAGTACATAAAACGAGAGGAGAAGCTTTGTATATTAATTTTTAATACGCTACGCATCGAACGCATGTACGTGTGCGTAAGGGTGTGGGTGTGAGTGTGAGTGTGCGTGTGCGTGTGCGTGTGCGTGTGCGTGTGCGTGTACGTGTGCGTGTACGTGTACGTGTACGTGTACGTGTACGTGTACGTGTACGTGTACGTGTACGTGTACGTGTACGTGTACGTGTACGTGTACGTGTACGTGTACGTGTACGTGTACGTGTACGTGTACGGGTACGGGTACGGGTACGGGTACGGGTACAGGTACGGGTACGGGTACGGGTACGGGTACGGGTACGGGTACGGGTACGGGTACGAGTACGGGTACGGGTACGGGTACGGGTACGGGTACGGGTACGGGTACGGGTACGGGTACGGGTACGGGTAAGGTATATATAAGGGTACCTGTGCGTGTGAGTCTACGTATGCGTGTACGTGTATATACTCTTATACATGGATGTGTCCATGTACGTGTACACATATGTGTATGTACACGTGAGCGTGTATGTGTACGTGTACACATATATATTAATACTTGCACGTGTATATGCACGTGTACGTGTACGTGTACATCTACATGTACATGACACCATGTTACCGTTACTCTCAATATTCCGTGATCCTGATTGGTTCAATTGTTCTCAGAGACGTAGCGGGCTATTGCAAGTGGAGATCACACAAATCACGTGACCAATTAAATCGTATATTAATTAGGTAAATTATCCAGCTGATATCTTACTGCTGCGTTTTGTTTCCACTCACACATCTTTATCGGGACCAGGAAACGATTCTCTCCAGGTGAGTACAGTAAAGATTTGATACTTACAGCCCAGTAGCAGGGCCGTGAGCTGGATATATTGGACTGTCTTATAAACAGACATTCAGGAATAGGGCAGTATTTGACAGACTTATAAACAGACATTCAGGAATAGGGCAGTATTTGACAGACTTATAAACAGACATTCAGACAATAGGCAGTATTTGAGTGATTTATAAACAGACATTCAGTCAATAGGCAGTATTTGACAGAATTATAAACAGACATGTAAAACAATAGACTGTATTTGACTAACTTACATAAAGACATTCAGATAATAGGCAGTATTGACAGACTTATAAAGAAATTTTCAGACAATAGGCTATATTTGACAGACTTATAAACAGACATTCAGGCTATATGGCAGTATCAGTGGCGTAGCTACCGTAAAGTTAGAGTAAGCAAGGCTTAGGGGCCCAAGGCAAATATTGGCTATTTTCTTTCTTTTAAAAAGTTAAAACTTTTACACATTGGAATTTTGATGTTTATTTTATATAAATAATTTAAAAAAAAAATGGAAATCCAGTTTTTTTCTACTGTATAAATAATTTAATTTCAAAAAGGCCCCAAGTCCTTTCTTAGTGTTAAGGCAGTGGCATTCAGTGTGGGGGAGAGCGGGCGACTAACATTATTAACATTGTTAACTGTTTCATAGGGGCCCAAAAATCCTAGTTATGCCACTGGGCAGTATTTGACTAAATTATAAACAGACATTCAGATAATAGGCATTATTTGACCGACTTATAAACAGAATGTAGGCAATAGGCATTATTTGACAGACTTACAAACAGACATTCAGACAATAGGGCAGAAAAAAAACGGTCAAAATTACAGTCAGAAAGACTCAAAAACAAAAGCATACACTGACATATGAAACTATCTAAAAGATTCCTGATTCCTGTTCTAGAAATGACCCCAACTTTGTTGTACCTAATCAGCTTGACGATGTTGTTGGTTTGCTGTATGGCTTCAGGTATTTTGGTTCTGTTTTTTCGCCGTATACAGTTTTTAATATTACCAGCATTACCACAGCACTGAAATTCCCACAAAGCCTAACAATAACCCGATAAATTTCTCTAAGCATCGCCTTGTCCAAATTTTTACCTTAATTTAAACAAAGTTGATCGTCCACAGAATCACGATGTTGTCAGAAAAAAACCCGATAAGAACCGACCAACGACATCTTTATACTTATAATTTTGTGTGTGATTTTAATACTAAAAGTTAATGTAATTATAATTTTAAAACTAAATAAATTTATTTGATAAGCGCAAAGTTAAGGTAAGAGTTTTTACCAGGCATCTCTTCATGGGTTGTGTGTGTGGGGGGGGGGGGGGGTTGGTCAAGCTGTGGGTCATCCCCCACCCCCGAAGAAACACTGAAACCTGCGATCATCCTTGCCATTGTGACAGATTGCAACAGATCTTGCCCGGATCTAGAGAATTGCAAACCGCCTTCTGTGGACTTTGATTTCTTCAATAAAAATCTTCTGGATCAGTTTTGCAAGTAAGTTGGTAACTACTAAAAACAGAATCGATTGTTAATGAATATAAATGTTCTAGATATCACACATACTTATATATATATATATATATATATATATATATATATATATATATATATATATATATATATATATATGTATATATATATATATATAAATATATATATATATATATATATATATATATATATATATATATATATATATATATATATATATATATTTGTGTGTGTGTTGTTGGGCAGACTGGAGATAGTGTGTTGTTGGGCCACCCAGATAGCGTGTTGTTGGGCCACTCAGATAGTGTGTTGTTGGGCCACCCAGATAGTGTGTTGTTGGGCCACCCAGATAGTGTGTTGTTGGGCCACCAAGATGGTGTGTTGTTGGGCCACCCAGATAGCGTGTTGTTGGGCCACTCAGATAGTGTGTTGTTGGGCCACCCAGATAGTGTGTTGTTGGGCCACCCAGATAGTGTGTTGTTGGGCCACCCAGATGGTGTGTTGTTGGGCCACCCAGATAGCGTGTTGTTGGGCCACTCAGATAGTGTGTTGTTGGGCCACCCAGATAGTGTGTTGTTGGGCCACCCAGATAGTGTGTTGTTGGGCCACCCAGATGGTGTGTTGTTGGGCCACCCAGATAGCGTGTTGTTGGGCCACTCAGATAGTGTGTTGTTGGGCCACCCAGATAGTGTGTTGTTGGGCCACCCAGATAGTGTGTTGTTGGGCCACCCAGATAGTGTTTTGTTGGGCCACCCAGATAGTGTTTTGTTGGGCCACCCAGATAGTGTTTTGTTGGGCCACCCAGATAATGTGTTGTTGGGCCACCCAGATAATGTGTTGTTGGGCCACCCAGATTGTGTCTTCTTGGGCCACCCAGATAGTGTGTTGTTGGGCCACCCAGATAGTGTGTTGTTTGGCCACCCAGATAGTATGTTGTTGGGCCAGCCAGATAGTGTGTTGTTGGGCCCCTTAGATAGTGTGTTGTTGGGCCACCTAGATAGTGTGTTGTTGGGCCACCCAGATAGTGTTTTGTTGGGCCACCCAGATAGTGTGTTGTTGGGCCACCCAGATAGTGTTTTGTTGGGCCACCCAGATAATGTGTTGTTGGGCCACCCAGATAGTGTTTTGTTGGGCCACTAAGATAATGTGTTGTTGGGCCACCCAGATAATGTGTTGTTAGGCCACCCAGATAGTGTGTTGTTGGGCCACCCAGATAGTGTGTTGTTGGGCAACCAAGATAGTGTTTTGTTGGGCCACCCAGATAATGTGTTGTTGGGCCACCCAGATAATGTGTTGTTAGGCCACCCAGATAGTGTGTTGTTGGGCCACCCAGATAATGTGTTGTTGGGCCACCCAGATAATGTGTTGTTGGGCCACCCAGATAGTGTGTTGTTGGGCAACCAAGATAGTGTGTTGTTGGGCAACCAAGATAGTGTGTTGTTGGGCCACCCAGATAATGTGTTGTTGGGCCACCCAGATAATGTGTTGTTAGGCCACCCAGATAGTGTGTTGTTAGGCCACCCAGATAGTGTGTTGTTGGGCCACCCAGATAGTGTGTTGTTGGGCAACCAAGATAGTGTTTTGTTGGGCCACCCAGATAATGTGTTGTTGGGCCACCCAGATAGTGTTTTGTTGGGCCACCCAGATAATGTGTTGTTGGGCCACCCAGATAATGTGTTGTTGGGCCACCCAGATAGTTTTTTGTTGGGCCACCCAGATAATGTGTTGTTGGGCCACCCAGATAATGTGTTGTTGGGCCACCCATATAGTGTGTTGTTGGGCCACCCAGATAGTGTGTTGTTGGGCCACCCAGATAGTTTTTTGTTGGGCCACCCAGATAATGTGTTGTTGGGCCACCCAGATAATGTGTTGTTGGGCCACCCATATAGTGTGTTGTTGGGCCACCCAGATAGTGTGTTGTTGTGCCACACGAGTTTCCCCTTACGAACCTAAGCCCCTAGGCTCCGCTGATTGGCTGACCTGCAAGGATGTTGGGTTGATCTGACTCAATGTATTACTCAACCGAGACCCCTGTTGTACATCACCTATGGCTCTCACACCCTGCGACACACGTAATACCTGGCTTCGGATACATATAGGTCTATTTTTACTAGCGGTAGTGATAGGCTTTGACGAAAATTACGTCACGAGTATAAAAAAAAAACTTTTGTAAAAATTAAATATTATTATAAAGCGTGTTTTTTTTAAATTATTTTCTTCTGAGTTCACAGCAACGCGGAAGGGTACGCTAGTTAACATTAAAATGTGACTCGTCCTTTTCTCAGTGATCTGGACGTCTATGCTGCTTGTGCTAAGGAAAAGACACAGAGATGTTGGAACGAAACGCAACAAGAAATTTACATGGATAAACTCTCATTAGGAAGAATAGTTTGTGAAGTCGCCGGCCAACAAGGTGCAGATTTACTAAGTTACAACACGCAATTACACAAATGAAGCGTCGTAATTATCTTTTGGAACGCTGAACAAATTTAAAAGTTTAGGAGACACGTAGAGAAATATAAAATACAGTTACTTAATGTAATTCTTAAATTATTCGTCTTTAATTAAATGAGAGGATTAAAAGTACTTTTCAAACATTACGTCTAAAACAACTTACAGATGAAAAAAAAGGAATAAGTATTTAATAAAATGAATACAATGCTCATAATCAAATATCTAACAAAAATAAGTTGTCTACATATTCCCCATATTTTCTTAACTATCAACGAGCTTGTATGTGCCGAGTGCATGAAAAACAAAACGCAATCCGACATGATAAAGCAACAATTGCCTGTGTGCTTCCGCAATTTCACAACAGTGCCAGACTTTGAGAAAGACGTCTGCAAGTAATTATCATTGTTTGTTTTAATGATATACTACAATAGAATCTTTATCAATAATATACTTCTGGAAAAAAGGTGTTGTACACTGGAAACATGGGAGGTGTGACTGTCGGAATCCCGTGTATCTAGCACCTGGTGCCATGGGTGAGAGAATTACTGGGTTCCTACCCCCCTGTTTCAGCCTGTCTGGGTAATGAGTTAAATTTTGAGCCAGTGACGATCGTGTACGGATACAAGAAAAACATGACAGAAAGTCGTATCAGCATGTTGGTAAAGTTCAGAAAAAAATCAACCGGTTTTATTTTTTTCAATCCGTCACACAGCATGTAAGACTAATGTTTTTTTTAAAATAATTTAAACATTAAAAATCTTTATAATATCTTCTTTTTTTAAATACAATCCAACCAGTGAACAGCGAGAAACTGAAAAATGCCTGTTTAGAACTGTACTTGAAATATGCGGAGAGGAGGAGGCCGTTCTTAAAACTTTCGACATCGTTCTTTACACCAAGCTGTGCCCTGATGTCACTTTGACAACAACGTAGGTGTTTTTCCTTAACCCTTCAACCACTTTACAGAATATTCAAGCAGATCGACCCTTGCTTGACCGTTGTAAATGGATATGGCAAGATATTTGATTTGACGGTCAATAGAGCAGCGGACTAGGGTGAATTAGAACACGGCGAAGACTACAAATGTTATATGTATATCAATCATTATGATTTTTTTTGTCCTACCCAGAACAGAGAAACCTGAATCAAGTGAGGACTTGGAGGAAGAGAGCAGATATCTACGAACAGGAAAATGAAAGGAAAAATTGTCAAAAGACACTCTCACACACAAACACACACACGCACACACGCACTTACAGACACACACATTTACATACGCCAACAGACGCATGCACGTACGCACACACACACACATACACACACACACACTCCAATACACACAGACATGCATTATATTGTTGTCTGGCATAAAAAGTAACCATTTACGTAATTTTGGCTTCCAATAAATACGTTGCTTGAAAATTTACTTGTTATCGGTTATGATGTATTCTCTCTTTGTACTATCATCGACAATTAATCAGCGGATTACATGTTTGAGATTATCCCTGATTATCTATCTTCTATCTATATATAATTCTCTTCATGAGGTCATTCGAGACACAACGTAAACGCGCGCCGTTAATCCACCACTCTCTAGGCATATAGCCACCACCCCCACTAGTCCGGTGAGCTGTGGTTCAAGCCAAATGTTTACAATCGTAGAGCCGGGTCGAATTAGTGACTCTATCAGGGGCAGATAATTTAGTTTTTAAACGATTTGAAACTAAGGGGAGGTAAAAAAATCGTTTTTTGTTGATCTTTTCATTGTCGCCTGTAAACTGTTGTCATGGACGGCTGCTTTCACGGAGTTCACGGGGGCGCGGGTGGCGGGGAAAGGAGGGTGAGGATTATCGCCCTTCAGGAGTTATTGATTTAAAGCAAAATATTTTCACTCGCAGCATTGGTAGTGCTGAATTCACAAATTACGAAGTACAAAAAGTAGAAAATGAAACAACTACTTAATGGCGTATGCTTACGGCGCGGGTCATCTCGTTACAAATATATAAATAGTCACTACCAATCAGTGTTGGACAGCGGCCTCGTTTCAACCTCCGACATACAAGATAAAATTGTCACATTGGTCGAACTTACGGAAGTCTCGAGCTCGGATTTAATCGTAGAAAATGTATTTCAACATTCACACGATGTGATAGCAAATAAAAAAAAAACCGACATGGAAATATTACTTTATCCTTACATTAAGCTGTCACAGATGGTTCTTTATTGGACAATCAGGCGTGATGTTAGTTGCATCAGTTCATCAGTCCTGAAAGTACATGAATGGACTAGTGGAACTTTGTATGTAATTTGTTAAATTGAAAGCATCCAACTTGGAAATAAGAAACGCTATTTTTTAAAAAAAAATCGATTGGCAAAACTAACGTGTATGTGTACGTGTACGTGTACGTGTATGTGTACGTGTGCGTGTGCGTGTGCGTATGCGTGTGCGTGTGCGTGTACGTGTACGTGTACGTGTACGTGTACGTGTACGTGTACGTGTACGTGTACGTGTACGTGTACGTGTACGTGTACGTGTACGTGTACGTGTACGTGTACGTGTACGTGTACGTGTACGTGTACGTGTACGTGTACGTGTACGTGTACGTGTACGTGTACGTGTACGTGTACGTGTACGTGTACGTGTACGTGTACGTGTACGTGTACGTGTGCGTGTACGTGTGCGTGTACGTGTACGTGTGCGTGTGCGTGTGCGTGTACTGTGCGTGTACTGTGCGTGTGCGTGTGCGTGTGCGTGTGCGTGTACGTGTGCGTGTACGTGTGCGTGTGCGTGTACGTGTACGTGTACGTGTACGTGTACGTGTACGTGTACGTGTACGTGTACGTGTACGTGTACGTGTACGTGTACGTGTACGTGTACGTGTACGTGTACGTGTACGTGTACGTGTACGTGTACGTGTACGTGTACGTGTACGTGTACGTGTACGTGTACGTGTACGTGTACGTGTACGTGTACGTGTACGTGTACGTGTACGTGTACGTGTACGTGTACGTGTACGTGTACGTGTACGTGTACGTGTACGTGTACGTGTACGTGTACGTGTACGTGTACGTGTACGTGTACGTGTACGTGTACGTGTACGTGTACGTGTACGTGTACGTGTACGTGTACTAAATGTATTGATTATGTGATTTTCAGCTGTTCAATTGAGTGTTAAAATCTCATTCATGAATTATTTTTTTTTAAATAATTAAGTCGTTAACTTGGAAATAAAATATCTTAAAAAATAGGATTTCTTACAAACAAAAATGTGATACTTCATCCATCCATTTGTATATTATTGTTTGGATTGTCTATATGTCTATTTTAATCCGGAAATAATTATAATTCGATGTGTGGTCTTATTTTTTTTAATTAAATGCAGGATAAGAGTTTAATGTTGTTTTGAAACAGAACTACTTTGACGTTTGACCCGACCCACAGTCCTTATACGATCAGAAAAACTGATTTTTAGACCCCCCCCCCCCTTCCCATTTACACTTTCCCCTCTTTTCCCCGCCGCGTGGACATAATTAATGGTTACCGCCATACATACAGTAAACATGCGGTACGATCAACTCTGTAATAACAAAGAGCGCTGATCAAAGAAATCAATGGGTAAGCAATCATTTAGCCGCTTTGACGGTAGGTAGATATCTCATCGTTATGCCTGACCGCTGGTCACATCCGGTGGTGAAGCACGGTATCCGTGACAATGGTGATAGGTAAGGGGAGATTACTCACTCGTTTGTTCAACTTGGTAGTGAGTCATCAAACTGAGGGTCTATTGGACAATGGACTAGACGGAAAAGAAAATATTCCGTTTCTAAAAAAGATTTCACTTTGTGTTTTTTAAATAGTCGATAACTTATTAGAGGGTGGTAAAATTTTAATGGTTTTAACTATATGGTATAAACTATATGTACTTGATAGACGGCCGAGAACAATAGTGAATAAGGCTATAAATCTCAACTACACGACCATTTGTGGGGCACCCCTTAATCTATTCTAGAAGGAAAATATTTTTCAATATATTACTCAATTTACCTTTGCCAAATGATGTTAAATCAGGGGTCGGCAACCTTTTGAGACAAAAGAGCCAAAAGTTACAATTTACAACATTACCCGGCTTTTAAAGAGCCACTAACATTTTTAGTGTATTTGTTTAGGATCTATAATATAAGCGGGCTGAGCGTGTGTCAGTCCTTCCTTCTGTCAACGCTATAGCTTTTAGAACCATAAAAGTAAACATTTGCACCACGCAGTGCTTTTCAGTGCACCGTAGAGTCGTATAGTAATAATAAAATAGGGTTTGTTTATATAACAAATAGAGCTATTTTATAATTGCCACTGTTTTTACTTTTTTGCATAACGTAAAGAGAATATTAAATACACGCACACTGCTAAAACATATTAAAAGTATTAATGTCAAATATCATTTTCGTTTATATTCCTAGAAAAAGTGGATACATTTCAATAACATAATAACAGTACGGTAGAAAAATCAAATTAAACTGTTTAGTAATAATGCCAAGGGAGGTATTTTAAAAATAAATTGAACTCAATCTAAAAATGTGAATGCAGAATCTGCAAGACGGAATAATTGTTGGAATAATATAATTAGCAAAATGTGAATGCAAATTATGCAGACGTGTAAGAGTACATTATTGTTGGAATATTATAATTAGAATTGATTGATAAAAGGCTATCTTTTATTTATTTTATCCACTGAATGTAATGTTTACTACTTATAATTTTTAATCAACTATTAAGCACTATTATAGACGCGTCATCACGTTCATTGGGTGCGCAATGGTTTTAGTTATGAAACTCTATTGTAAAATTTTAAAATTTAAAGTACTGGGAAAAAATGCGTGAATGGATAAAGTGAAATATTGTAGGTAAAACACGGATATTTTAAATACTGCCTATTATTTATACTGTTTACTAATTATTATTCTATCTTTCGGTTTGCGGACAAGCTAGGGGTTTTATAGGAGAGGCGTAGCGAGGGGGGGGGGGGCATATGTCCCCGGGTGCCAACCTTAGGGGGCGCCAAAGTGGGTTGGAAAAAATTTGGAAAAAGGGGGGGGGTGGTGCAAATCGAAAGTTTGAGGGGGGTGCAAATCACCGGAAAGGGCGCGATTTGGCGCTACGGGCTAGACTGTGAGCAATATGCCTTTATGATTGCATTTAAATTGTGTTTATGTTATGAGTGTTGTGTTTGTTTTTTCGTTTGTGTTTTTTTTTTTGCGTTCGTTTGTGTTGTGTTTAGTTTTGTCCTGTTCCCAAGTTGGTACATTTAAAAAAGATTTACCGTGGCGGAGCACGGGATGCAGCTAGTTATATATATATATATATATATATATATATATATATATATATATATATATATATATATATATATATATATATATATATATATATATATGTATATATATATATATATATATATATATATATATATATATATATATATATATATATATATATATATATATATATATACATATATAATCCTACACAAATATCACACTATATGTATAATTAAAAATAAATAGCTTTGAATATATGAGTTAATTTCATTTGAATTTGTGTTGAGAGGATCTACTATGTAAGTCAGAGTACTAACATTTGTTTTGAATTGCTCAAATCTCTCAGTGAAAACATCCTTCATTTTGTTTATTTTAATGCTGAAGTGATTGTATAGTATATATATTTTTCAGATTTTTCGTAATTTAGTAGTTTACAGCTCACCATGTATTCAACAAAAAAGTTTTTTTTTTCGAAACAAACCACTTCTTCAAGCAAGACATAGGCTGGGTTTTCCTTTCAGTTTTACACTAATTATTAGCTGGTTTATTTTATTTGTGATATCCACTGTGAAGTTGAATGTTTTAATTCGGAATGGACAATGTAATAGGAAGTACATTGAGATAGGGGTAACTAAATATTCTAATAGAATAGTGAATGTTTGTTGTTTATATCTATTGTTATATCGTTTATTACCGAGTGTTGCAGACTAATATTTTAATGAGTTTTGAAAATAAAATAAAATAATTATTAATATTTGTACATGGAGCTGAAGAGCCGCGATCCCTGCTTTAACATATTCTTCGCTCCATCCCCCTCTCCTCGTCCACTGCATGACGAATGCTCACGACGAGAATAATTTAGTGCTTCGATTCTACAACAAATTGTGAGTGCAAACAGAAATCAACATGTGCTGTGGAAATTATTGTAGACGACGATGTCTGAATGCGTGTTATACAAGTCATTCTTACAGCCTCAAGATTGATATTTAATTACTACCATTAAACAGTCATACAGCATCAAGACTACTAGTAAACAGGTCAAGTTTACAGCATAAAAAAATGATACTTTATGACTACCAGCCAGAGAGGACTAACAACTATCAGCAGTTAATTGCTTTGAAAGATAGATTTGCTTAGGCAAACTTTTTTTTTTCAGTTTTGATAACAATGTTCATTTATGCCTTCAGTACGCACGTAGAGTAGTTTTTTTTTAATGTCAATGTTTTCGATGACCACCTTTGTCCATGCTCGGTGTTGTCTGGCCCATTGTTCGTCGGCGTCAGTGATCGCCCCTTACCTCTATTGTGTAAACATCAAACAGTTCAAAGTTCACACAAGCGTGACCAGCGGTCACTTGGAAGGGGGAGTTACCTACTCCTATTGCGGTGATATGTTTTACCTGCTGTAGGCTTTGATCAGCGGCCATTGTTGTCCATACCGTCGGTGCTGTAAGTCTGCACATACACATTTGATTTGAAGTCTTTAATTATCATATTGAAGGTGGGAATGTTAACTAGGGAATATCAGTAGAGTATATATAAACTCTTGCATTTAAAGAAATTTCTGTCATTCTGACTCGATTTACGGTCAAGTTCAGATCTCATATCTTAATTTCCTTTAACTTTATCACACAAGTCGTTACTGTTTTGTTTTAGATAAAGTGATGGCAGCATTCACGCCTCTAATCCTGGACCTAGATGAAGATTTTTTCGACCGGTTTCACCTGAAGCCGGGTCCGGTCATTGGAACCGGCTTGAGCGGTCAGGTTATCCACGCCACATCGGACAATCTCAACTTCGGACTGGCGGTGAAAATGTTCTCCATGCTCCATCAGGCTGACGACATGAACGTGCAGCTGTACACACAGGAGGTCAAGGCCATGGTGGGGGTGGACCATCCCAACATCATCAAGCTCATATCGGCCGTACGATGTCCACGCTACTGGTCAATCACCACGCCTTACTGTAGAAACGGGACGCTGTCTCAGAGACTTTCAGAACTCACCCCACATCACCTGGCACTTTACCTGATACAGCTGTCTTGTGCTGTGAGGTACCTCTACAAGAGAAGAATCGTCCATGCAGACATTAAACCTGCCAACGTCTTCTTAGACGATAACGGACACGCTGTTCTCGCAGATTTTGGACTCTCCTTCGTGGTGCCAGACACGACTGAATGCAGTGCCAATATCGGCGGGACCCCGGCCTTCATGGCGCCTGAACTTCTCTGTAATGGCCGAGTTGACCCCTTCAAACTGGACGTGTACTCCCTCGGCGCTGTTGTCTGGTGCATGCTGTTCAGAGTGGAACCGAACCCTATGTCAGTACACAGTTACCTGGATGAGCTCAATAACTGCCCGGATGTTCCACACATTTACAGGTAATTATACTTAAGTACATGTTAATTTGTTTTTAATTTTATAATCTTAAATTAATTAAATAAATTAAATATAGAGTAGTGTGGTGAATAATGTTATTTTCTAAGTTAATTAACGGTTGTTTTACCTGTATTTCTCCAGGTGTGTTCTGACGGCCATGCTACATCAGGAACCAGACCTAAGAATCGATATCTGTACCCTACTGGTGAAACTAAAAGAAGAGAATTTCGCCGTGGAAATGATAGACGCACTTTGATTGTTTGACAAGAATTATACAACTGATAATTATGTAGGTAATGCTGAGTTTTGTCCTACAAATGAAGAGGTAAGTAAGTTTTCCTTTGAATTTTTTCACGTTTTATACTAATTTAACAGAAGACCTGAACGATAATTTTATAGGCATTTTTTTTTTAGATTTTAATTATTTTTTCAAGGGAATTTCTAACAGAACAGTTTATAGCTTAACTAATTAACATCGATTTCCTTGTAAACATTTAGGGTTAAACATCAATATAAGAGTATTCGTGTAGTGATTTATTTTTTGATAATCATAAAGTTGTTCTTATATATATAGCTGAAAACTACCTTTTGTTTTACGATATTAAAGGTTAAGATAACGGTCTTGTTAAAGTAGTTTTGAAACACTTGCTCGCGTTCTAAAGAGAATATTTTACGATTTTTCAACGTTCTTTGGAAAAAAGTTAGAATACTCCAAGTTTCAAAATTACTTTTAAAACACTTGCAAAGTTTTATTTTATTGTAGTATATTGTATTTAATTTTTTCCATGTAATTAATCTTTTTTTTTCTTGACTCAACTTGTGAGAAGGTTGAGTTGTACAGGTTTTATTGAGTGGGGGAGATCGTTAATGACCAACGCGGTCTTCTATATTTTTAATCAGGCCACATTGTACTGTGTACTATGTGACGGTCCCCAGCCCGTTGAAACTGAGAGGGAAAATATGAGAATATTTGACGCAGTTAAAATCGCAAACAATTAAAAAATTTAAAAATGTTATGTCAGTTTATGTTTTACAGTAAAGTATAATCTTGGGTTGTGAAAGTATAAACTGTTTTCTGTTTAAATGTGAATGAGCTAAAAACTGTTACAATGCTGGTAACTTATCTCACGGGTTTTCAAAGCTACACATTACGAACAAGTTTCTGTTTATTATATACAAGCTATAAAAACATCATTGTTTTCAATTAAGCTACAAAATTAAATCAAGTAGCAAAAAAAAATTAAGCCCATTATTGTATAATGGGACAACAATCAGTCAATTAAGCAGAAATATCAGTTTAAAAATAAAATTAATCAAAATAATCAAACCTTTTAAACATTTCTTTCGTAAATAGCATTTTAAGGGGAAGTAATAGATGTTTTACAGGATATAATAAACCACCATTTATCTATCTTGAACAAATAAAACCGATTATGTGTACTATATGTGTTATTTTTATACTTACTGAAATTTAAAGTAGGCCATTACTTCTATATGTATTTAGATTTATAGACCTTTATAATAAACAGTTTTGAAATACACTGTTAATAAAAAAAATATATAAAACCGAACTTTTTAAAACAAAATCATTGGTAGCTAAAGGGATTCGGATAATTCAACGCATACTGTTACACCCGTTTTTTTTCTTTCTCAAGGCTAGGCCTTTATTTGTCATTAATTAAAATTTTAAAGATTAAAATACTTAGTAAATTTTTAAGGGTATAAATTTACACATGCAATTCTTGATTCCTAAATACAATTATTATTATCACAGACCACTCGATGTCATTTATGTTTTCTTTAAAAAATGGAATTCAAACTAAGAAATACCACGAGAAATCATGATAAATATTTCATGGCATTAAAATTGTATTGAACAACTATAATAGTTGTAAAATTTTTACTACACGTTCGAATGCCCAACTGATTTTACGTTTTACTGATCAGCTGATCGTCACACGTTTCTATTGGTCCGGCTAATCGATTGGTTCATACTTGCTGGTTCTACTCTCAACAGCTAGACCAATGAGTATTTCCTAACGTCTAAATACAGCTGCGTTTGCAACATACTAGACTACATGTTTTATCGATGAGATAACAGACATTTAGTGTAATATCCGGGAACTGGAATAGTGTTAGAAGTATGAACATAGGGATACTTAAAGCAATTTCTTTAATATGTTTTGATAAAAATAATTTAATTTTAATATCAACTGTATTCTGTGACCTCGGCATATGAAGGTACAGTGTGGTCAGCATTACGCCCAGCCGCTTTTCCTTACCCTAACGTGAGTTATGTACCCATCAGAGCAAGGTGGTCCTAGGAGAAGTATTTTAGTGGTGCAAAAAGTCGAAATTGAGATTTTCACAAATGACTTAATAGTTCTTTTACACACTACATTTCAAAACATACATGAAAGAGAGGATTGTGCTACAGATTTTAACAGGGCATATATAACACTCATTCCTAAACATGACACGGACAGGACAAAAAATTATAAATTACAGACCTATATCTTTACTCAACAGTTTTGTTATTATAAACTATTGACAAAAATTTTAGTTAAGAAACTCGAACCTTATATATCTAAATTAATACACCCCGATCAGCAGTACAGCATACCAGGTAGAAACGTACAAAACCACACGCACTTAATTAGAGACATCATACATTATAGCACGCAGAAAGATACACAACTAGCAATTCTTAGTGTGAGCGGCTGGAGTGTATTATTATTATTATTAGTAACTTAGAAGGCGAATGTATCGTTTCGTTTCATGTTGTAAACAGTTCGTACTTTTTTGTTGTGTAGTCCCGTATTATGGCGCCGCTGTCTATCTGTTTATGGCCCTGTTTACAGCTAGTTTGTATATATTTCGTTTATATTGTTGTCAATGTTTATATTAAGTGTCTTTTTATATAATTCTGTTGCATGTTTCGTGGCGTTTGGTTTCTTATCTGTGAATTAGGGACTATTTGTTTACGTGTAGTGTGTGAGGTTTGTGAAAGTCGATTTCCGGCTTGGTGTTCTGTCCACATTGGTATGCTGACGGGATGAGGTAACGAAGAGTCCTTTTTCCATCCGACGCATAAAAGTCAGAAGGACGTCAATCTAACTTTCATTATTTGTGCATTTGTTCTTAGTAAACCTGATAAGTTAGAAACATGTTTATTTTATAATTTTGCAGTTTATTTTTGGTTGCTGGCCATAAGCTTTTTTCTGTGGCTGTTTTCTTACCTCCATTGTGGTTTTGTCAGACCACGTGGACTCAGATTCTGAGTTTTATTATATTATTATGTTTATTATTTTATTTTGTTACTTTGTTGTATCCCTTGGGCTTGTGTTAAGACAGGGATAAAGTTATTTAGACTTGACCCACAGTTATGGTTTACTCCTGGCTGTTGGGTTAAGTAGTGGAGATATTGTATCCCCTGGATAAGGTTTATTATTGCCTGACCCACAGTTACGGTTCATTCCTGACTGTCGGGTTTGGTTATGCTGTTTATACTATTTTCAAGCCATTATAGTGGACTTACAATTCCTGTGGTGATCTTTGTTGATCCCCAGGAGAGTGTTTGATTTATTCTAAGCCACTATGGATGTGCACATTAATAGATTTTATAGTTTTGGAGTTTGTTCTGTGTGAACTACCTGCATGCTGTTGAGATGTAATCCAGTCAGCCTGTGTTTAATACTTTGTACATAACCTTTTTTTTATGGTAATTAATGTGTCATTTTTTTTCCTTTTCTAGGACGTAGTCCGAAATTGGGTGTTTTGTTGTATATAAATTGTTTTATTATTTTGTTAAAGTTTTTTGTTTTTAATTTAGACTAAGGTTAGGTTATTAACCAGTCTGGGTTTAGCCGGACTTGCACTGACGGGACAGTAGTTAATTAGATAAGCCTAGAAGGGTAGATTTTAGGTATCCCCCCCCTAGCAGTGCTTACATTAGCATCGACCAACGGAAAGCTTTCGATAGAGTAGATCATACATAGTGAATGAAAACAATAGATGCTTACAACCTAGGACACTATTTTAAAACATGGATAAAAATAATATACAACAATGTACAGTCATTTATTAACAAACAACAATGTTACAAGCGTATTTCACTTACAGAAATCAGTTAGACAAGGTTGTCCTTTATCTCCCCTACTATACATCCTTAGCTTAGAACCCCTACTAGAAAACATTAGCCAGGACAACTCGATTAAAGGAATGTACATTCCAAACACGGTAGGCAAGAAAATACTTGCATACGCTGACGACACTACTTTCTTAGGAGTCTACGACAAATTCACGAAAGACACTTGCCCGAATGCCGTTTGCCCGAAGGCCGAATTCCCGAAAGGACACTTGCCCGAATGCGACAAATGCCCGAATGGACACTTGTGTGTGTCTGTAAACACGATAACTTGAGTACCTAACAGCTAGATTGGTGAAATTTCATATACAAGTATCATATCAAATTCGTAATTGTGTATCAACTTTTCTGCGATTTTCGATAACCGGAAGTGGAACTTTTTCTACTTTCTAATTTTTCAAATGCCTAAAATTTGAGTACTATTTCAGATAGATAAATGAAATTTCCTATTAAAGTACAAGATCTAATTTTCTGCATGCTTTAAAATTTTGAGTAATTTCTGTTTACCCGAAGTAGTAATTTTTGCTATTTCCGATTTATCAAAATAAAAAAAAACGCATGTGAATGTATAAATAAATAATATTCCGCACTATTATGCACATTTTATTTGGCGTTCACTTGATTTGCAATTCTTTTTTCTACGAGATTTTATTCTATTTTAAAAACTGTAAGTGATAAAAAATGGATTAAAGAACATGTCTATATCCCGAGTTCCCATCCCCTGTTGTTTTATATAAGATTGCTCCCAGTTTATTTTATTTAATATCTAGCTATCTCAGTCAATGAATGACACACACGGATCAAAGTTTCAGACGGATGCGAAATAAACGTTTAAATTCAGATAGATATTTAGTGCTTAAATCATAATTTTATTGATTCTTTTGATAGTCCATCTTAAGAAAGTGGTTAAATGGGAAAAATACATATGAAAATACCATAGATTTTAAAGATTGAGCCCCATGAAAAATAAATCTCAGCAGTCAATATTCCAGTCTATGTTAGTTATTGATATTGTATCGACAAGTTCGCATCCATGTCGACCATCTTGCATCCAATGTGATCCCATGGTTTTCACACCAAACCACACAGTCACCAACCCAACCTAATCAACCACATGGTGGTCAATCACACCTGGTCAAACACTTAGTCACTCTTCACAAATTTGGTGTTGACGTACATCACGTGACTTTGATAGTTGAACTTCTCCTTGCTCTCTAGATGTATACAGCAGGTCTCAAAATTGTACTCTTTGAACCCCAGACGTCTGATGTGTCTCATCAGCTGGTGGTAAAGACAATGATAAAAAATTACATGACACACACAGGGACAGAAAAAGCAATATTTACAACAATGTATAATGTGACAACATGTAGGGATGAAAAGCAGAATAACCGAGTTTGTAAATACTTTAAACAAAAAACAATTCATAAAATACGTTTAAATAACACGCTTGTATTTTATAATCTAACGAGCTGACCCGCTGCGTATCATACGCCGCTATTTAGTTGTTTTTTTTTCTACTTTTCAGTAATTTATAATTTGTGAATTCGACAGTACCAATGCTGCCATTGAAAATATTTGCTTAAAAACACTACCCCCCCCCCCCACGTGAAAGCAGCCTCCTCTTAGTTACCTCCTCTAAGTTTAAAATCGTTTCAAACTAAATTATCTGCCCCTAATAGCCGTCACTAAACCCGTCTCTATGATTGTAAAATGTAAACAGAGTGAACACCGCTCAGCAGATCATGTGGGGGTGGGTTGGGGGTGGTAGTGATAGTGATAGAGAGGAAGAGAGGGGACTGCAAAGGCGCGCTTGCAGCTTGTTTTCTAACTGATCCCAGAAGAGAATTATATATATAGATAAAAAGTAGAATATAAATTATACAATACTATTTAAATAACTAAAGAAAGAAATGCCTGGAAGAAACTCTGAAAAAGTCTATTATAATCACACTAAATTAGTTTTTAAAACTTTACTAAATATTGTAAGCGATTTAATAATAGTTACAATTTGAAAAAGTAAATCTGTATGTGAACAATCAATTACACCCATTTTAATTTTTTTTAAATTAAATATAAGCCATTTGACAAGCCGTTTTGTATTATTTAGAAACCACCCTTAACCTCTCCTTGAAGTCAAGCGGAGTGGCCAGGAAAAGGTAAAGCAATGAATGTCACAACATTGTTTTCCATGATAAAATACACAATGGTAATCAATCGGGTATATCCTAATACATTAAATAAAATAGCGTCCCTTATCAACACAACACAAAGACTCTAGTAATCAAATTAAAAAAAGTGTATGCTAAATAATTATTATAGTATTAGTTATCATTTGTTTAACTATTTCTAGCCTTAATAAAATTGGAAGTCATTTATAGTTATTACACACGTTATAAAATATTCAATTTTTGGTTGAAAAACTTGCTTTCTGGCAACAACTATTTAGAGACATGGAACCAGCTTTTTAAGCCTATTGAACATATATAAGCTTAATTAATTATTTATAAGTTTACCTTGTAATACAAGACATAGTCCTCCTTAGCAGGTCTAGACGGAAACAAGTGGTACTCGATAAACAAATGCCGCACGTACTTTAACATGTCCGTCTCTATGATGTTATCTAAGACTTGCCACTCGTAGGATTCGATGTCAAATTTCAGGACGTCTATCACACGCTGGGGAGAGTGGTTTTATTTTTTATAGGGTTAACAAATTAAATGATATGTAAAACTAAAAGCAAAAGCTGGCAAATAAGATAACTTACGTTCTCTAGCCCCAATTGTTTAGTAAAACCCTTCAAGGTTCGTATCTGCCAGGTTTGAGCATTTCGAACATATCCATCCTTGTTGGGGGTGAACCCGTTAGTGTTAACGGTCCCAAGCCCCATATGATAGAAGGTCACATTCGGGCTTCGTACGTGGGTCTCCTTATTCATGCTGAGCGTAAAACATCAAAACAGTTTTTCTATAACTATAACTAACGTGTAAGGTTAATGTAAAGAATAAAATAGTAAATGGATCTATGAATGAAAACAACTACCAACAATCATAGAACCAAACAAAAAGTTGATTTTTATTTTAAACCCAAGTCCCAACTCTTTACATAAAAAACCCCAATCCTAACGTCTATATTTAAAAAAAATGTAAATGTAATTTCTACACGACGAATAATAGTTCGGGTGTCAGTCGGTGCTGTGATTCAGGGTTTCGACCCGCACCACCTTCCGTTAACACTTTAGTATTTCTCGCTAGTGTATACCCTCTAATTAACTCGCTTTACTCATTACACCGTTGATTTGTTAGTGTCTTGTACATGATATCGGACACTAACTAATGTAACCTCTAAATTGTATCACATTTAGCAATTGTATCACCCCATTCGTTCCTACAATCCGACCGAAAAATAATGAATAAACCTAAGCTGATAATCTTAACTTCCCATTTCATGTAAGTGAACGAAATTCTATACATAGGTATAAGATTTAAGTAGATCTAACTTGATTCTGTTACATTTTAAGTAATTTCCAGAGACTGGAGGTAGTACGTTACGGTATTTCAGAGTGCTCAAAAGATATAAGTTCTGCTGGACTTAATTGTTTTAAAACTTTCATGTACATATAAACGTGATGACAATAAACTGTGACACAAAATGTGAAACAGGATACACATTTTTTCGGTTAAAGTGAAATTTTGACCTCAAACATTTGAAATATTTAATTTTGTATTACATATTTTATTGCCCGTGAGGCACAATAAAAGTAAAGTTCCCTTTCAAACTTGACGGTCTATAGGGAAAGTGAAGTAGAGTTCACTTGTTATTGTCACCTCGGCATATGAAGGGATCGTGTGGTCAGCATTATGCCCAGCCGCCTTTACTTTCTTTAACGTGAGTTAGGTACTCATCAGAGTTGGGTGGACTCAGGGACGGTCTACTGACTTGAACCGGGATTCAAACTCTAGACTTGAGGATTAGCAGTCAAACTCTCTACGCCTAGACAATAAACTGTGCCTTAATATATTGGCCAACCCTCGTGTACACGTTGGTGAAGTGACCCTTGTTTTTGTTTTAAAACAATGTGGGATAAACGTCGTGTTCTAGTTGAGGTCAAATTTCAATAAGGGTTTGAGCGTAATAATAATGAATGAGGATAGATTTAGGGATACGTTTGACCAATCATATTACAGTACAGTAAATCAAAACAATTCATCATAGGTTGCAACTACATAAACACAACAATCCATTGGCTGTGTTTGTTTACGTTATTTGCATATCGTCTTTAATTTTATTTTTTAAAGATTATTCATTGCGGTTTTATTTGAAACAATTTTAATTGGAACACGGTTAAATAATGTGTAAAACTTGGTATACTGAGCTGAAACAATGCGTAATGAACAGTTTGAAGAATGTATCAACTAATGTAAATACTAGAAGGGATAACTGATAAGTATTCACTTAGTCGCGGTACGAAAACGTAGTACTTTACACGGATGTGTTATTCACGGTTGAATGACCTTTAGTAATCTATGGCTCATCGGATTTTTAAGTACCATCAAGTGATGAGGATCATATCTAGCCTCAAGTGCTGTACACAAGGATGTGTAGTAGGCAAAAAACTTCTGTATATTACGATTTAAGTACTGGTAGACATTGTATGAATGTAAAACGAGCGGCTAACAAACATAACTTAATCTGGTTTCTTAATAGTTTTTCTGCGAATATCACTTAGATAGTAAGGTATATAATACACAGTAGTTATTGATTCACGAGAAAAATGGCCCGTTGAGGAAGGATACAACGGGCGCTAGGTTAATAGTGCTGTCTATTTTCTCTAAACTAAAACCTAAACTAAAATCACCACCTTAATTCAATTTAACCGGAAACGGAAAATGAGAATCGGTACTTTATTCGGATTTATTCTTGATCTCCACGTAGTTACTGCACCTTGATACTAATGTTACCGTTATAAATAAATAAATTAAAAAAAAAAACCACCCCATGAGGGGAAAGTCGCATTTAGAGTTTCTTTTAGGCGTTTCTACTTGCCCCCCCCCCTCCCCCCTCCTCCACACACACACACCTCAAAGTACATCTACCGTCCCATTCAACTAAATGTAATTATATACTTTTTTCCAGTGTCCGCACCATCCCAGAAAATTCAACCCCCGAACCCGAAAATGTCAAGTACCCCCACCTCTCTCCACGGAGGAATAAGTCTGAAAGAAACACTGGTCGCATTTGTAGATCATATAAACTAAAGAAAGAACCTGGGAGGGGCTTCGCCCCTACCGTAAAAGATGCATGAAAGAAACTGTGCACGCAAAACACTTTTCAGATTAGACACATGAATTAGGCTGTAATTTTTTTATAGAGTATCAATGACGACATTTCTTTTGAGTTGGGAAGGGGGGGGGGGGTCGGCGTAGACGTTCTTACGTGGGGAATGGGCTTCGCGCCTACCCGAAGAATTGTATGAAAGAAACTCTTCACGCAAATCACTTTTAAGATAAGACAAAATTGGCTTTTTAATTCAATGTTTACTCGAGAATCAATGACGTCATATTACTGTGTGCACTCTCCAAGCTTGATACTTTTCCCTACTATATGCTAAATGTGACGTCATATTTCGCTTCCGTTTTACTGTGAAAGTTTTTAATTTGCTTGTTTTCTCTAGAGCGTTCTTGTCAGATACATAGATAGATAGATAGACAGATAGATAGATACACAGACAGGGAAACTATTAGTATTAATAATTACCTGTTCTATACATACTTTCTTCTTAAATAAAAAAAAATGTACCTAAAACCTGCAACAATATACAACACGTATTTTATTACTCAATGTCTTTTACTGTTTTCTATAAGAGGAACCTCAAAATGCCCTATACAACCCTCCTTTTCACAATAAAATATCAAATCATTAAGCCTTTGTACCGTTTTGTCATAAAAGAAAGAAACTTTCCATATGTATTAAAATACTGCGGCGTTACTACTTTCTGTGCACTGCAACACGTTCACGTTCACGTTTACGTTTACTGAACTATTGTAGAGCTGTAAAATAGTATTTAGTTAGAGAAAAATGTTCTTTTTTACCAAACAGTTAATCACAAATTTATTTAAAGACGTTAATAAACTTATTGATATATTCATTTGTGGATAGACCAATTTAATTATTTATGTTCAGAACAATGTTTTTACTTATAGTGACTTCACATGATTTATTTACTTTTTATAACAATAATGGCGTCTTCCATCGAAGATTTTATTGCCCATTCAAAACTTTAACGCATTATAAAGTTAATTTTCTGTCGGCTATACCTTTAACGATACGTCCGTTAGCTATTTTTACTAGGTTCCAACACTATTATCAATTTTTAAAAGTTCTTCTAATTTGAGTATACAATACATTTATCTAGAACCACAGATACGTTTTCGGAGGAATGGAAAGTCAATCCTAGATCTAAAATCTAGAATCTAGGTAAAACCAAAATTAATTAGTTAAAAATTAAATCAATTATAAAAAAGAAATAAATTATTGAGTTTCATTATTAAACTATGTTAGTCCTTAAATATTTTTTTTATAAATCTTTGCTTTTTAGCTTCAAGGATCATCTAATTAAATAATATGGGATTTCTGTAGATTCTAGAACTAGAATCAAGAACTACGGAAAAACTAGACTTAAAGTAAATTCTACAGCTAGACTTAACGGAAATTCTACATCTAGAATCTAGATCTAGCAATATCTAGATATACTAACTATTTCATGCTTTATTTATTTTATAAAAATCTTTGTTTGTTTAGCTATGGAATAAAATTCAATTTGATGTAATATTTTGGCCTATTCGCGTAAATGAACTTGCTTACGCTGATTAAAAGAAAAATATACAAATAAATATGTCACTGCTCTTAAGAGCCTAGATAGCTAAGATGATAGTGTAACAGTTTGTCATGCGGGTGGCACGGGTTTGAGACAAACCGTGTCAATGATACGTTTTTATATTCATTTTTTTAAAATATGTTAATGATAAAGTTGTCTATCGGAACTTGGCGGGATACAGGGCAGTTGAAGCAGAGTTCACATGTTTCTGTGTTCTCAGCATATAAAGAGATAGTGTGGTCAGAGCCATGCTCGGTCGAAATAATTTTTAACAATAAAAACATGTTGTCTGAGACTTGGCGGGACACTGAGCAGGTGAAGTAGAGTTGGATAGGTTTAGAGTTCACGATAAGTGACAGACGTGGTGTCATTTATGGATGATCTCCAAAACCCACAGTTTTCCGAAGGATGAAGGGTAGTCTAGTTTTAACTAAATATCTATATAACTGTAAAATTGCATTTGGAGAAGGCAAGCGTGTCAAGAAAAATATATAATTAATAGGAAAATGGCTCTCATTAAAAATGCCTGTAGATTGTTGGTGAAAGAGGAAGATAAAAAAAAAACGTTATCTTCCCTACTATTTTTACAGATGAACAATACGATCACTTTTTGTTTATATTGCTATTCCAGTAACAACGCCTGCTTCCATCCCCTCTACAGTTTTAAAAACAACAATTAGCTAAAGTGTAAGCTGCCAAATATGCTATGATTGATGCACATCACTAGGGACTTCAATACCTGAAGTAGATGTACCTACAGTACCTGCACCTGCATCTTCTGCACATGTACCTGCATATGGT